AAGTATTTGAGGACCAATATTTTTAGTATACTAGGAATTTAGACTGATAGTAACTCATCTGTAATTTTGTATCATTACACATTGGGTTTCACATTTCACAGATTAATGACTAAATTTAACAAGTATGTTTTTCCATTTTATTTTATTGCCTAGAAAAGTAAGTCCTATTAAATAATAGCGTTTCTTATCCCTGGCAGCTAATTTCTTATCCCTGGCAGCTTATCCCTGCTGCATAACACATTATTACTGATTTATCCCAATGTCAGCTCCACTATTGTATATAACTTATGGATGGGAGTAGACACAACTTTTGTAGACATAAACAAATGTGAAATAGTCTTCTAAAATAGGAGGGAAATATTTCAAAATGGTATTTTCATTATATTAATGAGAAGTTAAGATTTACCACAGTTCTTAGACTTGGATTTTGATTACTGTCAATGAAAAGAATGTCCTTGTAAAATATTAAAATGAGCTAAAATGTATGTTTTTAATCATACAATCAAAGCCATATTTATAATCAAAGCCATATTTATTAACTCATGTGTGGTGAACATGATACTCTGTGTCTTAATTTGTCTCAAATTACAAACACATTCTTAGAATTGAGTTGGTTTTTTGTGTATGCACTGCATAAAACATTTAACAAATCTATATTTTGTTCAAAATTTTAATTTATGTACTGTGCTATTATAAAGTAGGTTAGTAGTTATTAATTTTACTTAGTGTCAATGCACATGCTTTTGTGGAGGATAAACAAAAAAAAGAAAATCTTTTAAGAAATACAGGAAATCTCTGGGAAGGAGGATTCTTTTGATTTTTCGGTCTATGAGTTTTATACTTTTTTAAATGTCAACAATCTGTATTATATAGGAAGAACAATTTAGTTTTTGAGATGACAGGCAGCACTATTATGATATGTACTTGAAATTGTGGAGATTTACTATGAGTCAATCTTGTAATTAGTTTGAGTTCCATCTGTAATCACCATTCATTATAATGATGTTTTAAAAATATGCTGTGTGTTTATACTGGAGATAAAGAAGAATTCCAGATTTTCTAATATTGCAAGGCTTTAGTGTAGATAAGCTTTCCTTTACTATTGTAACTACACACTAGGTGAACATTCTACTTGGTTCAATGTAACAGTCATGAAAATTGTTAAGTAGACATATAATGTATGGAATTAGATTTGTGGTTTTCTCCTTAGAGATTTCATATACTCATACACACTCAATCATACTTTATGTTATTTAGAATGTATTTTTGTTCAATTGACTTCGATTGGTCTTATTGGAATCTGCTGTGCCTTGACATGAGGTCATAAGATACAGAATTTAAAATCACAGAGGTGCAAGTTTATGTCATAAGATACAGAATTTAAAATCACAGAGGTGCAAGTTTATGCATTGTTACGTACTCTAATCATGATGACTTGCATGTAGGGACAGCTCATTCTCTGTATAGAAGGCTCACATATCATTAACCCATTTTTATTTGTGCAGTGAAAGTTGTATGCTAATATATTGCTTAACCTATTTTTCACAAGGGGTAGGATAAAAGTCTCTTTTTTAAAGAATTCACAAAAATAATGCTTAAAATCATAACACTTCATAAAACTTGGCTATTTATGAACTTGAACTATTTAAATAGACTCAGACATTTCCTGAATCTAAATTAATATTAACAGTACATTTATCCCTTTATAGCTATATTGAACATTAGAACCAAAATGCTTTTATGTTAATTCCTTGCTTATACCATGAATTAATCATTTTTGTATCTATGTCACTTGAAATCAATATCTTTCATCACATGTTAGAAAAGTAATCCAGGAAAATGTTTTTTATTAATGACTAGAGGCCTGGTACATGAAATTCATGCACTTGGGGCGGGGGTGGAGGCTGTCCATCAGCCCAGCCTGCGCCCTCTCGGAGTCCTAGGCCCCTCAGAGGATGTCCCCTGGAGATCAGGCCTAAGCTGGCAGTCAGACATCCCTCTCGCAGTCTGGGGCTCTCGCAGTTTGGGACCCCTCGCTCCTTACTTCCTGCCTGCAGCTCAGGGAGGAGAGGATTGCACCACTGCCATTGCACTCACCAGTCATGAGTCTGGCTTCTGGTTGAGCGGCACTCCTGCTGTGGGAGCGCACTGACCACTAGGAAGCAGCTCGTGCATTGAGCATCTGCCCCCTGGTGGTCAGTGTGCATCATAGCGAGCAGTTGTTCTACCATTCAGTTGATTTGCATATTGGGGTTTTATTATGTAGGATATGCTAGAGTCCAAATATTTTAGGAGAAAGTTTTGTTTAGTGTTGCTTATCCCATTAACACTAAAGAGATGTGACTTATAAAGGCAAGTTAGAGCAGTTAAAAAGACAATAATATCTTCAAATTTAGTAATTACATGGCAATAAGAAACAAATATAGTTTAAAACTAAAAATTTAAATTTTAGAATTTATTTTAATGGTTGATAATGGAAATTAGTGATAAGAAGACACTTAGAATTTGTTCAGAATGTGAAGGAAGTGTAACTGTATTCTAAAATATAAAAAAAAATATTATTGTATGTTTTTAGTATATATTGACAATACTATCTATGGCTAAAGTTGGGGGATATGGTTTTATTTTAAGCTGCAAAATCTATAGCATCCATATTACCACTGTCAGGGTAAGGTATGAATTATTGCTGGCTGCATAGGGAAATCACCTGGCAACTATATCTGTCCCATCTAAAATCAATTAAACTCTCCATTCAAGATAATTATCCTACAAAGCTTATAGATGAAAGCAATGTTTTCCTAGTAAAGAGTGCTCAGTATCATCATCAAAATGTGCCAGAAACCTAATCTTTTGGTTATTTACATGTAAGCAAATATTCATAAGGTATGTTAATCTAGATTTACTTAGGACAAATTGAGTTAAATACAGGGTTGATCCAATATGAGAAATTGGGCCATACATCAGAGAAAGATCCCAGAGTTTTACTATTGAAGTCATATTTTGTTTTTTTGAAGTCTTTTAAATGGGGTTGATTTTCAACAGTTTTTTTTGTTTAAAGTCAAAGACTTCACAAAGCAGCTTTCAAATTACTAATTTTATTGAAGTCATTTTATTTTTGTCCCAGTATTTCGAAATGAATTAGCACTTAAGAAGTCATCAGACTTTATTACATAGTATGTGAAATTTTAGGGAGAAAGCTTTATGAATTGCAATAGGATTTTGAATGATATTTGTAGTTAATTATTTTATTATTAGAAATACATTTTTCTTTTAAGAGAGAGAAAAAAAACTTTAGTATCTTGATACTAAAGACAGCAACTTTAAAAATAAACATCTGACCTTTAAAAACAATAAAAATAAAGGAGGAAAAAACCCTTTCCTTTTATAAATGTTCTTATATTTCATTATCTGAGAAGGTCCAGTAGAAGATTAAAACTCTGTTATTATCGACACCAAGTTGTGTATACATTTTAAAGTGAATGATTTTGAGAGGCTTAGAGACCCCATATGGAGTAAATTTCCACAAAATATAGTTTCTTCTAATGCACCCTTTATAAAATTTGTTACTTTTACCTATATGATGTATTTGAAGAATATTTTTTTATTTATGCAGTATGTATAATATTCTCCATCAACCTTCCTAAGATATCTATATATTATATATAAAAGCCTAAGCAACCATCTGACTGTCTGACTGATAGCTCTGACGTGCACTGCCCACCAGGGGGCAGACACTCAATGCAGGAGCTGCCAAGTTGTGGTGACTTGGCAGCTGTGGTTCTCAGGTGACAGACCCAGAACCAGAGAGGAGGGAGCCTGATTCCAGGGTGCATCACCTGAGAACCACCCTCTTGCAATCTGGGACCCCTCAGAGGATATTGGAGAGCTGGTTTCAGCCGTTCCCTCAGAGCAGGCCGAGGGACCCCACTGATGCTCAAATCCATGCACCAGGCCTTTAGTTGTATAAAAAAGAAAGGGGAGCAGCCACTGAGAAATTGAAGTGTATGGCTTTTTAATGCTGGCGTATAAAATGTTTGTTTCCTATTACATTTCTTTTATAGTGTCTATATGTGCTAGGCCTGTAGTCTACATAAAAAGTTTTACTTAGGACCTTCAGAGATATTAGCCAAACATTTCCTCAGAAACCAGCTAGACATCTCATTGTTAGATGGCATGCTTTCCTCATTCTGTTAACATTTTTCTCTTTCAAGATCCACAGGGAGAAATATTTTAAGTGACTTAGTCTCATGTATGAGATGTAAAAGGTTTTTTTCTCACATGGATTACCCACTGTGTCCTTTCTTCCTATACAATTACTGGAAGAACTGATGCTTTCCAGTACGTCTTCCTTTTTTTCTCAGATGTTTTCTTTAGCATTCTGCTTTTAAGCTAAAACAATAAAAATTAAGAGTTCATTTCAAGAGTTCATTTTTACAAAATTAAAGATTGTAAAGGTTTTTTATGGCTTTCATAAAATTGGATAGTCTATCATTTGTATGTACTCTTTTGCCAAAAGCTATTCTTGATATTGAATTATTCAACATCATGTCCAAAAGTATTTATCTTGTTCTTCAGCTGATGAGGGAAGAGGATAGAGGCCAGTGAATAATTTTGAAAGATATGATATAGTTCAGAAGAGTAGAAAGGGAGACACTCAGTTTTTATCTCAATTCAGTGAATACAATTTCAGCAGGCTGTGCCTTGGTATGGAGGGTAAGTGAAGTGGGTTAACCCAGCGCCTTCCATACTTTTTGTGTGTGTTTCTAGCCTGATGATGACTGTAAAAGAAAACTTTCCTATAGTCTGAAGTGCTTTTGTAACATACATTCATTCCAAGGATTCAGGTCACAGCCTTTGGAATGCAGATTATCTTTCTGGGATACACACAGTCAAGATTATGATATTCATAACTTTTATAGATTGAAGAAGTTATACTTAAAATGATTAAAGCATTCTCTACTCTAAAGCATTATATTTCCTTTTTTTTTTTTATTGTGCAGGTGACTTGGATTATTACTGGCTGGATCCTGCCACGTGGCATAGTCGGGAAACATCACCAATTAGTTCGGTAAGCTTTCTGGGAAGTGAGGGTTTGGAATTTAGGGGTAATATGTGCTGTTTATTGTCCCTTGCTGATATGTGCTCGATAGTAATCTTATTCTGCTCCATTATACATTTTATGAGAGCAAACATTGATTTCATTTAAGACAGAACAGTTTTGAATAAAAAAGTTATCACTGAATAATTATAAAAATGTTTAAATAAAAAGGAATTATTAAATGATGACTGGAAATCAGATGTCATTTGGTTAAATATATCAAAAATTCACAATACTACTCAAAATACAGAATCAGTTTCTGTATAGAAGCAGATATATTTTTAAATTTCAATTAATTTTATTTCAGAAATATTTTTAAGGATGTACTTAGCTGCTGGATACTTTTAGAACTATTTAAGATAATAGTTGTCCACTGCAAATTAAAATTGTCTAAGGATAGAGCCCAGCAGTATCAAGAATTCCCTATTGTGTCTTTAACTGAAGAAATCTCATCATGTGACAACCAATAATTATGTGACTACAGGAAAGAAAATAAATTTTCTTTAACTTTATTCATGTCTTAATAGCATCCTGTAACGTGGCAGCCATCTAAAGAGGGGGACCGATTAATTGGACGTGTTATTCTTAACAAGAGAACAACTATGCCCAAAGAATCAGGTGCATTACTGGGCCTGAAAGTAAGTATGCTGGTTTCAAATGTTTCTTAAAGAGGGAATTACAGTATGGACAGGACTCAACAAAGTGTCTGACAGTGATTTTTAAATATTTTCCTCTCTTCTCCAAATAAAGTCTTTCTAGCAAATGTCTTGTTAATATGGTGATGCTTTATGGTAAATTTAGTATTTTATCTAGGTTAATATTTTAAAAATACTTTGTTAATATGACAATATGTTAAAAAACTGCAATAAATTATAGGAAAACTAAAGAATATTTATCTGAATATAAAGTTCAAGTGCAGTTTTATATAAAATAAAGTTTTAATGTGTGGTCCTAAGGTTAGATAATGCAGATTGCATAATTTTATTACTATACTTTTTATTATACTTGAAAAGCAACATAAAACATCATTAATGATACTGTTTTCTAAATGCAGTAGAATTTATGGTCATATCAAAAGAGTAAAATGTACCCTTTAAAATATTAATTGACTTTAACAGAGAAAATAAAAAACTAATAAATTACAAAAGATTGTATTTTATTGTAGGAAAAATATGTGCATACATTTTGTTTTATTATGCTTGTGCCTATATGTTAAATCTCACGGTTTTATTTCCTTTAAAAAACAGAGAAACATTCAAAGCTGCTGCTTTAAAGTTATTTACCAAGAGATTGTTTTATAGTTGTGCGGTAGTTTGATTTCTTTCAAGCTATTGACTACTAATCCAGTTAAAATTTTTAAGTTGATGTATTTAATAGTATTACCTTTTTATTATTACCCTTAATTTCTCCTGTTATGAAGTAATTTTCATTACCTATCTGAATGGGTATAGCCCTATGGATTATGGATCAATCTCAAACTTTGAGAATATCTCTCCAACTTCTAATTATACATATGTAGCCCCTGCTTTGGGAAGAAATTAAACTTAGGAACTTTCCGATTTATTTATTTTTAGCTAGAGTGGAAAAGCCAGGTGAGAGTGTTGAATATTCAGTAATATAACTCTGGCTTTGAGAGTTAGATTGAATCACATACAGATTTTAGTTGAGGAGCTCATTCACATGTTCAGTAGCAGAGATAATTTGGGCTTGTTATTCTTTGAACATGGTAAATTGCTTCCTCAAAGTTCCTGTTGTTGGTCTGAATTCCTAGTCTTTATGTCTTAGACCTACATTCCACTAAAAATATACAAAAGAGATCAAGATCAGAAATGCCAACGGGGCATTATCTGCATTTAGAAATATAATTCACATGGTGGGCATGAGTTGAGAGGATAAAGAAAAGTGAACCCTGATGTAAACAGTGTCAAACCCTTCCTGTTTGTTGGTAAGTAAGGAAGAACTGGCATTTGTCTTGTAGGGTTATACACTATTTGCGGCGCCTTTGTGTTGTTAGGTCAATATAAGTAATCAGTACATAAGCTTTCTTAGGATACATAGCCATCTTAAACATAATGAGACAATGTTTTCTTTTTAAAGCCATGCTTCCAGCTTCTTTAACAGAAATGTATGTCACTTCATTAATGTCCCTACACTCAATTCTAAGTACATCATAAAAGACTGATGTGATTAATTCCTCAAACATAAACCTTATGTTTTAGCCTTGGGCACTTATAAGTTTGTAATTATCCAGGTTGTTGGAGGAAAAATGACTGACTTAGGACGCCTTGGTGCCTTCATCACCAAAGTAAAGAAGGGTAGCCTTGCAGATGTAGTTGGACATTTAAGAGCAGGTAAAGTTTCTTTTCACATTTGAACAATGTGTACTCTTTGCATGAGTTGGTGATTTTCAAATTTGGGTAAGTCATAGATAAATCAATGAAGTAAATAACTAATTTTAATGCATGAATAGATTTTTTTTCCTGATATCATCACTAGCAGTTTGGACAAAGCAAGTATAGGAATGTTTCTTATTTTTGTAAAAATAAATAGATGCAAAATACCAAAAGATTACTAATTTTCATAGATGGCTTCATAATGTTCCTACAAATATATAAACAATTTAGCCTTTTGAAAAAGTGACATCACTACTTATTTCTTTAGTTTGTATTTAAGCTATAGGAAATACTAATTTTTCAGATTGGTCCCAAAACACTTATTCACTATCAGTGTTTTTAATAAAATATAATCCCAATTACATTTCTTATATAAATTATATAATAAAATACTTGTTAATTTAAATGTGATATATAGTACTCATGAGCTAAAAAATTTATTTTGAGAGCAGAGTCCAGACAATTAAACTGTTTGTATATGTTTTGCATCTATGTGTAAAAATTAGAAAATATAAGAAAATACACAGAATATATAAGGTAAAAAATTCACTTTTTTATTTTTTTATTGAAGGTGATGAAGTTCTAGAATAAAATGATGACCCCTGCCAGGACATACAAATAAAGAGAACATTCCTACGCTATGTTTTTAGTTTTTATTTCTTAAGATTGTAATTGTTGAACCCTAAGAAAAAATATTCTATGACTTTTGAAGACATTTTTTGTCAAAATTAATTATGAGGATAACAGTTCAGTGTCATTTAGATTTTTCTTTGATAGGAACATGCTATGCATGTGTTATATGGAGAAAAAATTCAAATTGTGTTTATTTTATTTACTATGCATACAGCTTTAAATATGTGCAGAGGCAGAGTACACTATTATTTTTTTTATTAGGGACTAGTTATCATTAAATAACTAACTCAATAAAGATGACTATATCAGCAAATTGAGTCTTTGCTTATTTTATGACTCAAAAATAAGCCTTAGAAAGTATAAGAATCTCTTGTCGACTAGTCCAATGTAAGACAACTTTGCACAAATCTGAATTTTCAGATCAGATAATAAACATAATGGCTTTTGATTTTGTCTTTGTGTTTTAATGGATTACTTAAGAAAGTCAGCAAAAGGTGTTGTTTTTTTAATTTCATTTATTTAACACCCTTATATGCTTAGAGTTTGAGAAACATAAATCTAAAATGATAAAAACTCAACTTTAGTAATTATAAAACATACTAGTATACTTTCATTTTAAGCAATTGATGTATTTTAATAATTATTTTAATAAATTAGATCATATATTCTGATTGGCATTATAATTTAAGATCTATTTTCCTTCTATTTGCATATAAATATGATTGGTCTATAAAAATAAGTACTGTGTTTTTATTACCATGACTTTTATTCAACATTTGCAATCTTGTTTTAGACTTGCTGTAAATAGGTTTCTCTACTGCAGATGTCCCTTCTAAGTTCATGTTCTGTCCTGCTACTGATAGAATCATCAAAAACCCCAAATAGATACTGACATTTTCCTTATAAAGACTCTTCAGTGTTTTCATCATGATATGCTCAAATCAAAGCTTAGTGGCTTTGTCCTCATATAACAACTCCACCCACTTCCATTACCTTTCACTCTACACTCCAGCCATGGATTCTACCTGTAGGTCGCTGGCAAGCTATTTCTGCCAGTGAGACCTGGTCATCTAGTCTACCTGGTTTCTTTTCTGCTCTTGTGCTCTGCCTGTTGAAGTCCTTTCCATCCTTTAAAACTCATCAAAAGTTCCCTTAATTCTAAAGTTTTTCCTGATATCATACTCGGGACAGTAACTTATTACTACCTCCTTAGAACTATACTTGGCTCTATTTCTGATCCTCAGATGAATTGCTATCATTTCATGAAAGGTGTTCATTTCTATAATTCTCCACCTCCAAATTTAAGGACAGATAAAGTCTCTTGTTTTATCTTTGTACCATCATAATATATGCCCCAGCCTGAACAGATTATTCATATATAAATAAATATCACTAAAGAGACTGCCTTCTGGTTGAGGATGTATTGATTTGTAAATAAATAAATGTGGGTACCAAGTTAATTTGATATTAGAATTTATGCTCCAGGTTGCTGTCTATAAAGAGGAGAATTTTATAATCCAGTCTTTTGAAAAATGTTGATTGCAATGCATTACTGGGTAGTAAAATTTATTTAATGGTTTGCATCCATTGTTTTTAAAAGTGAATTAGAACATAGTAAAATAGAAAATATCAGGGTAAGTACGGTTCCAGAAAATATTTTTCATACACATACCCACACATATACATATGTACATTCGCATGAGGTAATTTCTTGGCCAAAAAAAAAAATAGAGGACTCCTGTTATATATTTAAATTTGTAATTCTTTTATTTCTTTTTTATATGAAGTATATTTATTGCCTACTTGATAAACATGGCTAAGGAACTTCTTAGGTCAAGCTATTAGAAGTCACTTAGCTGTATTTAGTTAAATGTACTTAATTAACTGTATTCTTTTACCAAACCAAAGCAGCATCATGTGCTTTTTAAATATTCAGTTTTTACTTTTTATGTGAAAAAAATTACTTACAATAGTTATGTCAAAACAAAGTTTTCTACTGAAAGACATTGCTAATTAAAATATTTCATGTTTGTGTTTATGATGATATTAAATCATTAGTTCAAAACATATTAGCTACTAAAATGTTATAGACACTGAAAACAACCAAATAAAGGAACAAAAAAACTAAGATGCCTCATAGTACCATTGAGGCTGAATATTTTAGCTGAGCCTACCATAATGTATTAAAAGATACTGGACAGAGAACCATTTGGGACCTAAAACTTCACTAAATATTTATGAAAACTAATATTAATAGCATTTCCCAAATGATGGTGAAAATTCTGGTTAAGAATAACAAGTTGTTAGCCCATGTATTGTACCATGGAATCATGTACTTTCTTTGAATAGTTTTAGAATATTTAACAAACTAATGAATACTCAAATTTTTATTGTCTTCAAAATATTTTCTAACTTTAATGCTCACAATATATATTATGTATAGAATGTGTGTGTTATGAACATCTGGAAGTGGGTTAACTGTCATGCAAGTTTTTACATCTGCTTGCTTTGTAACTTTGCCATAGCTACCTGCGTTGCCCTGTGGGTATGAATTCAAGTCCTTTCATGCATTTTTATTCTGTTGTGCATCTGGTGAAGGCAAAGACACATGACTTATAATTGGAAAAATCATGCTAACAAATGTCAATTGCACTTTCTAACAAAAATAAAGCAGGATTTATGCAGAGTTTAATAATAATCTTTTACACTTAGAAAAGCCTACATTTATTATATGGAGGGCATGCTGCTAATTATTATTTTTTAATGTTTCCAAATAAGCTATGCTAATTCCATCCCATAGCATGAAATTATTTTTATGTTATTTCTGGTATATTTCAAAAGATGAAGGTAGTTTGTATTATACTGTTTCTAGTGACCAGTAGGCTTCATTGGGAGAAAGAAAAAAAAAAAAAAAAAAAGAAAAGAAAAGAAAAAAAAAGTGTTTAGAAGAACAATTTAGCTGACATTATATGGAAATCAATTTCTTGAGAGCAGAACCTAGACAGTTAAACTATTTGTATATGTTTTGCATTTCTTTAAAATGAGAGAAAAGATAAGAAAAATACACAGAATATGTAAGGTTAAAAAAAATACCCTTTTTTTTAAATTCAAGGGGATGAAGTTCTAGAATGGAATGGTAAACCCCTGCCGGGAGCTACAAATGAAGAAGTTTACAACATTATTTTAGAATCAAAATCAGAACCTCAAGTTGAAATTATTGTTTCAAGGCCTATTGGGTAAGGCTAAAAAAACTTACTTCTTAAGTTTAGTAAATTACATGTATAGTAGGGTTTTAAAAAGAAGTTTATACATTCATACAATACATGTTAATATGGATACTTTTCTTCAATGATGGGCATACAGTTTAGATTTTTAAATTTCTTAATATTTTAAATCTGAATACTGCATTTTCCTCACTACATTTTAGAAGCTTCACAATTTAACAATTGTAATATCAAAAAATATTGATATGCATTTTTAGACATAAAATATAAAGTAAAAGATTTTTAATGGTAGAATTGTTTATTTTTAGTAATTCTCATTTAATGAATAATATTTCCTTAAAGAGAGTCACTAACAAACTTATCTTCTTGTGATACTTAAAATAGTAATGATTTCATATGTCTACATGAACTTTTTTTTCTACTAAGAATAGAATATTTTTATATTTAAAAAAAATTAAGTGTGAAATATTTTAACATTTTAATTGGACATAATAATTAATACAACATTTTTAAAACTTCAATTTTTAGCATAATTTAATTATCTGCTGGCAGTAAGATAATTTCTATATCTTTGTGTAAAATTCCTCATAGAGTTAGCTTTTCCTGGCAACCCATAAAGTCTAGAACATTCATTTTGCCAGTCGACATTATTTTGGAAGGCATGTTTAATTGTCTTATTATAATTGGTTTAATATTTGAATATATTTTTGAAAACAATTTCTTTTTTCCCCTATTCTCTAAAATATTATAAAGCCATTAATTAAAGATATTTTATGTTGAATAAGTGCTAACCTTAAATTTTTGTTATCCTCATGAATATGTCACTGTAAAACATACAAAGAAATATGATATTCTAAGTCTCAAAATACTGTAAATGTATGATAATATATTCCAAAGAATAATATTAATATATATAAAACTCTAAAATAAAGATAAGCTTATGACCCATTTTAAGTGGTAACTATTAAGAGTGAATACTTACCAAAGTATTTTACATTTCAATGCAGATTATTTTTAAAAATAGCTCACTATAATTTATTCTAGTTTTACATAACACCTGTTCTAGTGCTTAGGTAAATATGAGGCTGGAAAAGAGGTAAGTAATTGGAAAATGAATCAAAAGTATAAAAAAAATTAAAATCAAGCATGTGCACATTGCCAAATACTTTCAGATATATGGTGGTTTCAAATTAACTAAAATATTATTGGTACTTAGCGACTTAAAAAAACAAAGACAATTAAAGTAGACTGGAATAACATTTTCATTATTTTATACTTTTGCATGAAAATAATTTAAATGATAATAATCTACATAGTCAAAGCCTAAACTGTTACATATATAAAGACTATGGAATATAAAAATTATATTTATATAAAAGGTAAATCTAGTATTAATTTTCCAGTTGATGAAAATATTATTGGATTCCTGAAAACATAATTCTAGCTATATATATAATAACTATGTTTAATGTAGTTTTATAAGTAATTTAAAACAGAAAGCAAATATAATATTGTGGCATAATCATTTCAATAATTATTCAAGTATAATTAATATGCACATTGGTCAACATGGTCTAGCCACAATGGGAACCAGCATGGAGGTTCTTCAAAAAAAATTAAAAATAGAGTTACCATATGACCCAACAATTCCACTTCTGAGTATTTATCCAAACAAATCCAAAACACTAATTTGAAAAGATATATGCACCACTATGTTAACTGTAAAATTATTTACAATAGCCAAGATATGAAAGCAACCCAGGTGTCCTTCAATAGATGAATAAAGACGATGTAGTACAGATATACAATGGAATTTTAGTCAGTCGTAAAAAAGAATGAAATCATTTGTGTCGACATGGATGGACCTATAGGGTATTATGCTAAGTGAAATAAGTCATACAGAGAAAGGCAAATACCATATGATTTTACTTATATGTAAAACCTAATGAACAAACAAAATAGAAATAAACTAGTAAAGAAAACCAAGTGATGGTCACTATGTGGGAGGGAGATTGGGAGGGATGAGTGAAAAAGGGATTAAGAAAAATGAATTACCCTAATAAAAGGGTAATATGATAATTAGATCAGGTTGACTGGACATCTTCTGGTTGTTTGGTCCTCCTTCAGGACAAAGCCATGGTGACAGGAGCCAAAGCAGAGGTGGTTAGGGGTGATCAGACCTGCAGGGGGAGCAGTTAGGGGTGATCAGGTTGGCAGGAGAAGGCAGGCAGGGGTGATTAGGCCTGCAGGGGAGGGTGGTTAGGGGTGATCACGCAGGCAGGCAGAGGCAGTTAGGGGCTATCAGGCAGGCAGGCAGAGGGGTTAGGGGTGATCAGGCAGGTAGGCAGAGTGGTTAAGGGCGATCAGGCAAGCAGGCAGGTGAGCAGTTAGGAGCTAGCAGTCCTACATTGTGAGAGGGATGTGTAAATGTCAATTGGAAATTGATGCCTAAAAATATTACTGAAGGAGTCAACATTAAATAAATTTTGATTCAAAATCCCTTAAAAAGTTTTACAACTTTTTCACAATTCTTCTTTCACAAATACATAAAATCCAAAGCTTATACTTGGTTTCAGAGTTCCGTGTTCTAACTTTCACAATCAACTTTGAGGTTGAGTTTCAAAAAAGTTATATTAAAAAAATTGCTGGATTTTAAATAATGTACTGTTATTTTTCCAGTTAAATTTAGAAGAAAGTTGTGGAGGATAAATAGTTGATTTCTTGCATCTTAGTTATTGCAAATTAGTTTCCTAATTATCATATAAAACATTGATTTTATAAAAATTCTTTATTATATATATATACACACACACACACACATATATAGTAACATATATTTATAAAATACATAATACAGGTTATGGTGCCAGTTGCAAAGTGTATAAATTGTAGGTGGTTATGAGAATTAGTTTGCACAAAAAATGTGAAAATGAAAGGCAGGAAAATAATCAAAAGGAGAAAACGGTTTTTGTTTCCATTCCTCCCCACTACCCAGAAAATACAAAGAAAATTAAATTGAAATTAAACAACAAGGTAAGTGGTTAGAAATTCTTAAACAGTATTTTAATCATTCTCTTAATACTAGCTTACTCCAGTCTGCTTTAATATGTCATGTTAATACTTGCATATTGTTAATCTGGTCCTTACATTATAGTAAAATATCTTTGGAATACCAGAAGTAAAGTAGTTCCATATAGCACAATTTCCAAACCAAGCTGGTCCAGTGGATAATGGATTAAGCTGAGGTTATATTAAATATTTATTCAGAGTTATTTGTGAGTGTGACAGGAACGGGTGTTCTCACAAGTCACTTTCTAATCATATCTAAATAACCATCTATTTAGCTAACTTCAATATAAAGATATGAATCCCAATATAGGGTTATATATGTGCATATTAATTATATATTCACATATATAAAGTATTTTGGCTTTTTTGTTGCAAGCTTATATCATTTTTAATTTTCAATGCAATTCATCCTTTTCATTTTATTAACTTTGCCCATGATATTCACCATATTATTTTAGTATCAAGAGATGTTTGCATCCCTGTCATTCAGTAAACTCTTTCAGATGTGTTTGTAAAGCATATTACTGATTTGTAAAATATGTGCCATTTTAATTTTCTAGAATTGAAGTAAACTATTACCTTTGACATTTTTTTATTTCCAAAACCTGCTGTTTTGGTAGTAAAAATATTGTGGTAATTTTAGCCACAATATTAGTCTTATTGTTGTCATGTTAAAAGTATTTTGCTATTAAATATATAAAAACTTATTTTTATTGCAGTTTTTATTTTTGTGTGGTGTTTGACATTCATGCACATTAGTAATTGCCTTAATAGTGACTCCTGTCCATTTCCACACCTATAAAGACCCAAAAGGATTCTCACACCACTGCAGTAAAATGTGACTGTGATTGCCTCAGGCAAGTACTACAGCTAATGGGATTTTCACCCTACACTGTTTCTTTTAGTGACATTCCCAGGATTCCTGAGAGCTCCCACCCTCCCCTGGAATCCAGTGAGTATAAGGAAGATGTCCTTATTATTATGATATGTGTTGAATGAAATTGAAAAATAAAGATTTGTTGTTTCCTTTAGTTATTTGATGTAAAAGAGTTGGTATTGTTATACTAAAGTTATCTCCAATGATATCAGAAGTTGGAAACCATGATAATCATTGGAAACCCAAAGGTATTTCTATTTTAAGATTTTTTCCTAGTGTGTGTGTGTGTGTGTGTGTGTGTGTGTGTGTGTGTCTACAAAAATCTATTGGCAATACCCTTCTGAATCATAAAAGTCAGGATCTCTCATAGAGCTCAGTTATTATACCTGTGATAATTCTATTTACTTTACATAAAAATTTATTGTGATACTGGATTGTTCCGTTTGATTGATAATTGGCTCAATCTCACGAGCAGCCAGCCTAGTGAAGGAAATGGGCACATTAACAAATAATTTTACTACACCACAACAGTGTTGGGTGTGATCATGGGAGTGAGTAGCTGGAGTAGAGGTAAAGTTCCATGGATATGAGTGAGTCTAGAGGCTTGAATTATTCATAAGGCCATTAAAGTCACTTCTGATGAGAGAAGATGACAATGTATGCAATGAAGAATGGGTAAGTAATGCAGTTTTCGATGCAAATGTGAAAGTGACCCAAATATTTCCTTTGCCATGGATTGGCAATACATTAATAATACATGGGCTTGATCACCAAGTGTTATTGTGTAACCCAACTTACAGAAATATAAAATACATCATGATTTAAGGAGAAAACAAGTGATGGTGATTATAAAAAAAAATAGAAAATATATGGGTGAGAAAAACAAGGATCCAGAGACAATGTTAGTGTAGCAAGTGCATACCATCATGTTATGGATACCTGCTAGAGAGAGATGAGACCAGATTTGGTTTTGAGCTTTCTGATAATCAGTATACAAATGGAAATGGAACCAATTGCATAACTTATAGTGTTGATATGCTTTAAGAATTAGTTGCTGTAATAATAAAAACAAACTGATTATTAGAAATACCAGTGTTCTTGTACTGAGATCCCTCCAAATAATATTATCTTAAGGAAACTTGATAAAAGAGACATAAGAACAAAGAATATTATAGCACTGTTTCTTATAGTTAAACATATTTGGCAGGCACAGAATGATGCTTTGTGGCTTAAATTAGACTTTATAGGATAGAAAAAAATTATGTGGATAGCAAATCATTAGGCAATGGTCCATGAATAGTGATTTATCAATAAAGCTAAACTCTGAATGGCTGTGGGTTCAAGGTTATACTTACTGGAGTAACATTATATAGGCATTTTATATTGCTGGTTATGTCAGGATATACTTAAACAGTGAGTTGGGACTAGAGAGTTCTTATTTGAAAAAGGGGAGAAAGGGCCTCATGGAATGGCTGAGTAGAGAGCCAGCCTCCTCTAAAGAAGGGGGGAGGAGCAAGTCACTTGTTGTGAATCATAGAGACAACATTCTCAGACTTACAAGAGATTCATTTGTAAGAGCTAAACTGAGATAAATGGTAAATCTTATTTTAAAACAGTGATGAATTCCAGGCTTAGATGTACTCATAAATTATATATGCATTCATTTTGATTTGATTAAGTATAGTTCAAAACGGATGATCCTTTAGCCAAGATAATTGACATAATGGGTACCATCTTTCTCATTAAAAGTGTGAAGCCTTTTACCTACGTGTGATATTAAGCAAGAGCCTAAACCATTGGTCAGCAAACTCAGTCAACAGAGCCAAATATCAATAGTACAACCATTGAGATTTCTTTTGAGAGCCAAATTTTTTAAACTTAAATTTCTTCTAACACCACTTCTTCAAAATAGACTTGCCCTCTCAAAATGAAGAGCCATACTCAAGGGGCAAAAGAGCCTAAACTATTCCTCCAAAATAATGTAGAAAATCAATACTTAGAAGTTGAAGCAAATAAATAAAACACTCGATTATATCCATTTAACTACCTGTAAAATAGGTGGTTAATCAAAGAAGATGGCATAAATTTCTACAACTAATTGAAAGTAGGCTCTGCTGTTATTATTGGTATTTAATTCAGGTTTTATACAAATAACATGCATTTAACATTTTATAAAACCACTAGGGGCCCAGTGCACAAATTCGTGCACCTGAAAGGAACTGTGGTGCCATGAGGCTGCGGTGGGCACAGGGGCAGGTCTCAGCCCATCCTCCACACCCCCACCTGCTCCTCCTGCCATGGCTCCAGGTCTCCTGCTGCCGCCTCTCCCACACACTGAAGGCACTGGCCCCACTCACACCTGCTGCTACTGGCGCCAGCAGTAGGTGCAAACGGGGCTGGTACTGTCAATGTGAGCAGCAGCTGCTACCCAATTGCCCATCAGGATCAGGTAGATGTAGAAGCCCTCAGGGGTGATCAGGGTCCAGAGGCAATCAGGGCCGGCCGTTGCTGCTTGCACCAAACAATCAGGATTGGTGCGCTAGATGCTGGCAGCCAGGTGCAAACGTTGGCTCTGCTCTGGTTGCAGGTGTGAGTGGGGCTGGTGCCCACAGCAGGTATAAGAAGCAGCAGCCCTGTTGCTATCTGTGGTTGCAAGCAGAGTTAGCACTGGCAGTGGGTGCGAGCTGCAGTCTGGTGTCTGCAGTAGATACAAGCGTGTGCGAAAGGCGGCTGCCGGCACCAATCTCCTCTCAGGAGCAGCGGGAGGTGGAGAAGCCCTGAGGAGTGATCAGGGTCAGCAGCCACTGCTGACAGTAGGTGTGGGTGCCAGATGGGACTGGGGCATGCAGGAGCAAAGAATTTTCAGTAACCACAAGAGGCTCGTCCTGATGACCGTCCTGCCGTGGCCGACACCTGCCATGTTCCACACTCTGCCACCTATTGCTGATGCCCGCCATATTTCGCAAGTGCCCCCTAGTGATCAGCACACATCATAGAGCCCAGTTGTTTGGTTGTTCGGTTGTTCCGCCTTTCGGTCTATTTGCATATTAGGCTTTTATATAGATTTATTCTCCACACATATGGTACAAATATGTTACTGAAAATTACTTAGTTGTTTTGTATTTGTTTTTTTTCTTTCTTTCTCATTTAGGTTCAAGTTCTTTTGAATCTCAGAAGATGGAAAGGCCTTCCATTTCTGTTATTTCTCCAACAAGTCCTGGAGCTCTAAAAGATGCCCCGCAAGTCTTACCAGGACAACTTTCTGTATGTGTTTTTTATACATGGTGAAGACCATTAGTACTTACTCACTGTGCTGAGTCTATCTTACAAAATATCTGGCTTTTTTTAGTTGCCTAACACCATAGTCAACATCAACGCATTTTTCATGCATTTTTTAAAGATAATTTCTTTGTTTATATATTCATTTGAAAATAGTTATTGAGTGCTTATAACGCACCAGATTTCTCAACATTAAATGATAAATAACCTTAGAAAATATAATATCCATTCTAGTTTGTCTGTTATACAAAAGCTTCTGAAGTAGTTGGTTAGTCATAATAAACTCAGCAAATTATGTGTCATTTACTTAAAACCTTATGAGCCTGGAGATGGAAATATTTACATTTAAAAGTATTCTTTTTAAATTCTTAAGACATTTGGTGAAGCTCATTATGCTGATACCACGCTGAAAAAGCTATAATTTTCCTCACTGTTGCCTTATTGATGACCCAGGCAAAGCTGGATAAAGAAACTATGGCTAACTTATGAAAACTCACATCTTTGTAGATTATGGTAGAATATTGGACATTTATATAAATGACTAAAATAAAATGTTGCTTTAAATTATTCTATAAATATTAGTTGATCTTTTTCTTTGTTATAAAATATGGTATTCTGTAATGTGTTTTTACCACTCTTGATTTTAATTAAAGAAGATAACTATAAGTTTGCTGTTATTTTAAAATCTTTCTTAGTTTTAACTTTATATATTAAATATATTTGTTAAGTATTTTATGTTTATTTTGATTTCCTTGCCATCTTTTTATTTTCATAGTATGTGTAAATCTCTCATACACTCCACCTGTATGTTAAGAGGAATAAAAATTCATTTTTGGTTTTATGAAAAACACATCTCTGTGATTAACTGGAAACAGAGATAAGGATTCATATAAATCTGTGTTTGAGTCATTAATATGACATACTGTGAAAAAACAATCCCATGGTAAATTAGCTTATCTGGTTGTAATGACTCTTAAATATGTTCCAGTATGTACCCATTAAATAATTACATTTTTTGTTTAACCATAAAACCAAAACTGACATCAAAAATTTTAAACCAGAATTAAAGTTAACATTGTCTGCTGCCAACACAAATACTATTTTGGCTGCCAAAGTTCTGGTTCTGAGGAGTCTAACCATAGCTCAGTGTGTCATTTTTTCATTTTTCTGTATTCAAACTATCATGAAATCTTAGGAGAAATATCATCATTGGGCCTTCACTTATTTTGAAGGCATCATTTATGTATTACATATCCCTTTGTTCTTTTCCCCTTCTCTCATGAAAATTATAAAAATTAAATGAGACAAAACAGAAAACAGCAGTAACTGGTGTAAAATAGACCTACAGTAAATGTGTTTCCTGATCTCCCAATTCTCTTGTACATATTGTTCCAAATATCAAATCTCAATTTAATTCAACTACATATGGAACTATAAAACAATTTAGGCACACTATAATTAATAAGCACTTATAACCACCAACCACTTTCATTTGTCATTTAAAATCAAGAATGGCCCTGGCCAGGTAGCTCAGTTGGTTGGAGCATCTTTCCATACACCAAAAAGTTGTGGTTTTGATTCCTGCTTAGGGCACATACCTCAGTTGGGGGTTCAATCCCCAGTCTAGCACATATGGGAGACGATTGATCAATATTTCTCTCTCACATCCATGTTTCTCTCTCTAAAATATCAATAAAATTAAGAAAAACATAACCTCTGATGAGGATTAAAAAACCCACAAAACCATAATGATAATAATCTTAAAGTCCGCTACTTCCCTTAAGTTTTTATAAAATTATTATCATTAGTTTATTTTCATAGCATGATATGATATAAGAGAATATAACGCTACAGTTGTAAGACATGTTTAAAATGCATGAAGAGAAAAGTCAAGTTCAAAGTGGTTATGCCTTCAAATTGGTATTCTTTTTCAAAAATAATATAAAAAATTAAATTAAAAATGTTTTATTAAAAATAATTTTATTATTCTTTTGTAAAATTATAGCTCATTATTTTTACAAATAATTTCTTCCTTCATTGCTCTTAGGTGAAACTGTGGTATGATAAAGTGGGACACCAGCTGATTGTAAATGTTCTACAAGCAACAGATCTACCTTCTAGAGTAGATGGGCGACCCAGGAATCCCTATGTAAAAATGTATTTTCTTCCAGATAGAAGGTAGTGAATAATTTAGAAAAAATGTGCAAAAATCTTTACTTATAGAAAAGGCAGAACTTCCTTTCTTAGTTTTACTTACTTTGTAAAGCTTTATTGAGATGAAGTTGTTATGCTAAAAATTGCACATATTTAATGTATACATTTCGATGAGTGTGGACATTTGCATACACCTGTGATATAGTTTTAACATTTAATAGGTAATTATCTGAGGGAATAAAATACATTATCTCTTAAAAACAAAGTCCTCATACTTTGTATTTTTTTTAAAAAAATAATCTTCCAGGTTTTAAGTTTTCTATTACCTCAATTATATACATATTAGTCTTTGATAGCTACACATCATTTAAAATATACCTCTGCATGTGATTGCCTATAGTCATAACTACTGCTTACATTGTATTATAGTTAAAGCAAGAATAGCATTAATCTCTATAGTATTTTTAGATTTTTATATTAAAAGAAATAAATCCCAATAGCAGCATCACATGTAACTACAGTAGGTGGCAGCATATACTTGTTTTTACTCTTTCATTTACAAAACATACTTATTTTTTCAGTGATAAAAGTAAGAGGAGGACCAAAACTGTAAAGAAAGTACTAGAACCAAAATGGAATCAAACTTTTGTCTACTCACATGTACATCGTAGAGATTTTAGAGAACGAATGTTAGAAATAACTGTGTGGGATCAACCAAGAGTGCAAGAAGAAGAGAGCGAATTTCTCGGAGAGGTGATGTACACTGTAAAGATTCAAGTCAAATGCTTATTCAAGTTTTTGTGATATGCATTGCTTATGATTGCCTTTTAGATTATGTTTGGTAAATGTGCTTGCTTAATTTGAGAATGCCCTTGCAGATCCTCATAGAATTGGAGACAGCACTTTTAGACGATGAGCCACATTGGTATAAACTGCAGACCCATGATGAATCTTCACTACCTCTGCCTCAGCCATCACCTTTCATGCCAAGGCGACACGTTCATGGAGAAAGCTCCAGCAAAAAACTACAAAGTAGGTTTTTAGTTACCAAAATTAATTATGTGTAATGAGATTAAATTTCAAGCTATTTTCTCAAATGCCTATTAGAGATCAGAGTATTGGAAAAGTATTCATTTATGTAAAGGGTCCTGGCAAAACTATTTTCTACATTTTCCCAATGACTGATATATTCAAAACAGAGTAATTCCAGAGCTGAGTGTTGAAACACTCTCAATTGTAATTCTTTGCCCAGTACTGATTCAGTTGTTGATTGGTTAAGTGATGGAATAATTTTTATTAATATTAATAGATTAATATTAGCAGCAACCTCTTAATAACTTTATAGTTCCTAGGTATTTTTAGTATTATTATTCATGAAAAAAATTAAAATAAACATATAAATGTTGTTTTGCAACCAGTGATTGGGAAAAACTATTTTTTCTGGACATACCTATTAAATTTGAATTATGACTAAATCTCTCATTCAATAATTGAAACATAGATGCTGCTCTTTGGTAAAGTAGAACCAAATTGTTTTCCTCATGTAATTAAATATTTCATGTTAGTGCTTCTGTGATCAAGCATTTCCTCAATATTAATGTTTAATGCAGTGTAATGGCTAGTTCTAAAGGCTAACCATGCATATTTTATAACGGACCCTGATGTCCTTGCAATAATATGAGCTCAATGGAGCTCCATCCATGACAGATCTCCTTGAACCTTTCCACTCATCCTCCTCAATCTGCAGAGGAGGGCACTTCACTGGATAGAAAACAGTGTATGCACTTTGCAATAGGCTTTTAGCATAATGCCTGAACTAAAGAATGAATTGAAAAGTCAAAATCTCATTCTATGAAGTTCCCTCCCTTCAATGATTTTATGGAGGAAATACCTAGAAAATGTTATCCTTGGAGAACAAACATTACTTTAAAAATCTGCTTATTGTTTACTTCCAAAAGTATTTAGTAGTAATGGAATTTTAAAGAACTGTGACCATGTCATTTACATTTTGTAAACCAACAAGACACAGAGGTATCTGTTTGCCTTACTGTTGTGCAGGATCTCAGCGAATCAGTGACAGTGACATCTCAGATTATGAGGTGGATGATGGTATTGGAGTAGTGCCTCCAGGTGAGTGGGTGAAGAGCATGACCCTGTTTCGCTATGTGTCTGTGCTTGTTTCACTGTCCGTCTCCAGGTATCTGTGGGATACTGAACATAGAGCACAGATAAATCAGTATTATATTATTCCATGCTGGCAACATGTGTTCCAAATTACTATGAACATTTAAAATTGACTAGCCACTGTTCGTTAAGGTCCCCACTTTTTAAACTTAGGTTCTTCTTTGGAAGCATGGCTAGCTAGGTTTAAATCATTATTTCACAATGCTGTAACCATAACTGGAAAAAAAAATTCATTATGAAAGGATATGCTTAATTTTCTTTTTAAAAAAATCCATTTTCTTATGTTTTATCTTATATATTTGTGATTTCCCTCCTTTGGTTGTGAAAATAATGTAGCCATCCCTGAAATATATTGAGAAAGGAGCATGGCAGAGTTTAAAACTGCATGTGGCATGGCTTACCTTCTAATGCTTTTGTGATGTGTTTACCCCCGATTATAACTAGAATGTGTATGTATGTTTTAAAATAAGGAAATGCTTTAGAAAGATTCATTTCAAGTCAACAATTTTTTTTTTTGTATAGATCAGAAAATTCTTTTATGGCATTGTGGAATTCAAATCTGTTTTTCATCTGACTATTGTCAGAAAGTGAGTAAAACCAAGTAGTAAAGGATTATTTTCTTAGCAATAGTCCTGTACTATTTCCTTGACTCACTAATAAAACATAAGGAAATCTAAAAATAAGAGGAAATTAAAGAAACAATCTTGGGACATATAAATAAGAATTAATAAGGCATTTCTTTAGGACAATGTTAACATATATCCCCTTAATTTATGTAATTTCTCAAATATAGATGCATTTAATTTGAGGGTGATAGTTTTGGCAAAGTTAACAGACAGATTCCACACTAGTGACTAAATTTACAATTTGGGGAGATACTTAGAACTTCATTAAAACTATGAGAAAATTATAGCGTTATCTAAAATTAGGTTTCAGTTGCTTTTGTAATTCAGAGAAAATACAGTCTTTAATCACTGTATTAAAGAAAAATATTTCTAAGAATCGTAAAGCTGGTGGTGAACACACTACATACTTAGTTATCACTCTTGACTATCAGACCATCACTGAGAGTTTAAAATTATCTTGGATAAGAGTTGGCAACATTTAATATTTTGTTTTCTTCTTCTTTTTGTTTATTCCTAAAAAGATAAGAACACATTCTCCACAGAAACTTTAACACAAAATTTAACAGATTATTAGTTGTTTTTTAGGAAATTGAAGAGAAAAGTGATTGTATTTAAAATCTATTGGCATCTACACTAGTCTACACTAATAAAAGAGTAATATGCTAATTGACCATACCTTTGTGATGCTCACCAGCCAATCAGGAGTGAATATGAAAATTATCCCAACAAAGAAGGCAGGTTAATTTGCATAGGCAGGCGTTCCACACCACCCCAGCTGCTCTTGGTCTCTGGACAGCGTGGAAAGGCGGAACTGCAAGCTCCTGGTCAGAGCAGAAAGGCGGCTCCAGCCAGAGTGAAGGTGATGCTGGCAGCCAGGGGAAGGAAGGCCCATTCTTGCACGAATCTTCATCCATCGGGCCTCTATTATTCAAATAAGAATCAGGTTACTCCTTGTAGAAAGCATCAAACTATTCTAAAAATAATCTTGGCTGTTAACCAGCTTTAATGATGTTGTTACCAATATGTATGCCTAAGCAAGTGACGGTTTGACCGTTTGACCATTCAACCATTCAGTCAGTATCTATGACACATACTGACCACCAGGGATTAGATGCTCAACACATAGGTACAGACTGATGAATCTCATTGGGGGTAGGGGAGCAAAAAGAGATTAACCAAAGGTCTTATATGCATACTAGAGGTCTGGTGCATGGATTCATGGACCAGTGGCGTCCCTCGGCCTGGCCTCCAGGGATTGGGCCAAAACCAGACAATCCAACATCCACCAAGGGGTCCTGGATTGTGAGAGGGTGCAGATCAGGTTGAGGGACCCCACTGGTGCACGAATTCATGCACCAGGCCTCTAGTATAAATGTAATTTACATCTATGGATGATTCTCACATTTATCAACTAAAATTTTTGTATATTTTTCCTGAGGCAGGATAGTGAATGAATTAATTAATAAGTGGCCAATTTAATAAATGCTAAAAGGGGAAATGAAATTAATTAATTTCATTAACTGTAAATTGGTCTCTTTTTAGACTTACTATTACACTTTATATATCTGAACAGCAACAAAGAAACTTTTATGCATGAAACTCAAAATGATAGCTTAATTGCCATTATTTTTATTATAAAATGAAAATATATGAAATTATAACGTTTTTAGTTATATTATTTGGTTGTTATAGTGATATGTTTAAAGTGACAAAATGGTTGAGTTTCTTTGGTCTCAAAATTGACAAATTGCACTTTATAAAATGCTAAAGATCTAGCTTCTCAGTTAAGCTTAGTCAAAATACCATACAATCACACACAAAATAAATTGTTGAAGAATTTTAGTCTTCCTTTAATGGCATATGGGAGTTATTAATAACTAAGTGAACAACAGTTCAAGCTGCCCAATTAAATGTAGTGTCTTCATGGTTCATGGACATTTTATGTAGTTGTAAACATAATTATTTTTCTTTAGCCAGAGAATTTAATATTTCACTTTTAATAAGAAGAAACAGAGACCCTGTTAAAAAATGTAACTAAACTGCTACTATAGATTTGAGATTACTTTTTATTTTAAAATTAGAGATAATATAAACAGAGAATGACTTTTAGAATTTATTTTTAATTGAAATTATATTAACTGTATTAATTATGTTACTAGTAACATATTTATGGGATAATTTCCAAAGACTGAGTTAGATTTGATGATTGCTTCTTTGGAAGAGTTAATTCTCTCTGTGTTATTGTCATAGTCATCTCCATCAATACATTGTTTTTATTTGAAATTTGCAATACTATCTGTGGTTTGCAAAATGCACAATCAGTATTTGTAATAGTGAAAATCTGCTACTCTTCTTTGTTAATGAAAATTGGAATGAAATTATTTCCATTTATTTATTAGTGAAATTATCTGAAACTCAAAAAAATTTGGAAGAAAAATTTAAATATTTAAAGAGACACCAAGTTTCTAAGCATTGACTTGTATATCAACTCTAGTTTACTGTCAATTTCTTGATTTGTGTTGCAATAACATTACTCATTCATTCTTTAAATTAAAATAGTATCCCAACTCATTATAATGTCTGAGGCATCAACTGTCATATTTATTTATATTCAATATCTTCATGGTACCTTTGAGCCAAGCTGTAACCTGTTCTTATGGATGTATCTGTTGCACTCTTTGTACATACATGTAATAGCTTTGAAGATATGGCTAATAGTGCTGATTGCATGTCATTTATCTTAATATGTCAGTGGCTCCCTTAGATATAATTTGCTATCTCCACATTAACATTCACATTATAAAATACTGACTAATTTTTTGTGTGTACTCTTGCCAGTAGGTTATAGGTCTAGTGCTAGAGAAAGTAAATCTACAACATTAACTGTGCCAGAGCAGCAAAGAACAACCCATCACCGCTCACGCTCAGTATCTCCTCACCGCGGCGATGATCAGGGAAGGCCGCGTTCACGTTTACCAAATGTGCCATTACAGAGGTAAGCTTGGAGATGGGCGTGGTGTTCCTGACAGTACTTTTTTATTATAACACTATAAACTGGCACATGCTTCTGCCTGAAATGAAATCATGGTTTGGGCAATAATTTTTTTTTTTTCCAGTCATTTGTAAGCAAAATGCCTTTTTATTCATGGCCCAAAGTTCTCTTCTTTCATCTCAACATTCTGTTCTGTGCAACTTTCTGTTCATTGATCTCAAGGAGTGGAAGAAATTTATGTCCCAAGCACTGTCTTTGAATAATTCTCTTGTATTCTGCTTGCTAGTTGTCTCTTCTGTTATGAGAAATCATATGGTAATGAATCAGACCTGTAGAGAAAAGTGGCAAAGAAAAATGAGATTAAGAGGAGGAATATATTTTTTTTTAGAAATTTAGTATTGTCTTTTTGAAGTACATTAAATACTTGGAAAAGTGTAGAAGTTATAAGTAATATATTGCTTTATTTCCTTTGGCCCTGACTGAAATTTTAATAAAGTAAGCAGATAAACATTATGGTCCTTTTTGATAGAACTGCAAAAGAAGGTTGAAAAAACAGAGCAGTCGTAGAGAAGACGTGTCTTTAAAAGTTACTGATGAAATAGTTATTTGGTTGTGATCCCAGTGCCTTTCTAGCTATGTCAGTTGTTTGCCAATTACTGTCATGTCTTCCCAGTTAGTCTGCCTGCCTGATTTGGGAAGATGATCCCCTTTGATGCATATGGATTTTTTGTAATCATTTTAGGAGTTTAGATGAAATTCACCCAACAAGAAGGTCACGTTCTCCAACCAGACACCATGATGCCTCTAGAAGTCCAATTGATCACAGAGCCAGAGATGTGGATAGTCAGTATTTATCTGAACAAGACAGGTATTTGTTTAAATTATGATCGCAACATTATACATCGTTTTCTCTTTTTTAATGTATGGTTGATATCTTGGCATAGTACATTGAGAGTAAAAGTAATTCATCACTCAAAACTGAACTTTTCTCACTTGGCTAATATTAGATTGTCATAATATAGGCAGTTTTTAAAAAAAATCAAAATGTTATGTTTAGCTATTTTCTAATGTACAGTTTATTGTTGATCTAGCCTATATCATAGAAGTGAGCTCATATAAGAAATCTTCAAATATTTTATATGTTGTTGATTGTAGCCTTTGGGTTGTTTTTATGTAATTATAAAATTGAGTATTTTATATTATTAAAATTTTTAGATGCAAGTCATCTAAGGGATAGATAACATTGCAGAGTTTCTGTGAAAACATCAATAATAATATTTTTATATCCCTACTTTTTATAAACTATATTTCCATAAAATGTCTATAAAGTAGAAAATATTGAGATGGATTCTTATGAAAAAAATATATCCTGGACATAATTACTAAAACTCTGCGTTGTGACTCTCTACATACCCACAGACTTACTTTCCAAACTGACTATACCTGTAATAATATGTCTGACCACAAGCTCAGGATATGATTTAAGGTTTTATAATACTCACCTATTGAATATTCTCTTCTGTCTTTTTGAAATGGAGAAACTTTCAGGGAGGAGTAGGGGAATGATAGCAATGCTAAATGGTTGATTTTTTTGCCATGTAGTCAAGAATACAGAACTCAGATAGAGCTTCTTACCTCCCTAATTGTCATCGTACTGTGGGAGGAGGTGCATGACCTTCAGAGGGGGAAGTTACATTGGCTACTGGGACAGGAGCTGCTCTGAGGAATAGGATTCCACACTGCTCAGCTTGAGTTGGGTTGAGTTGAATGAGGGCCTTTTTGTCTACAATCATTGAGACCACCATGAATTTAGGTGAGGAGGGAGAAAAAGGACTTTTTGCCCAAGGCATTCAATAGGGTTGAATTAATTTGAAAATATATAAGAAGTATCAAGTTTAAAATATAATAATCTTATTTTAATATATATATATATATATATATATATATATATATATATATATATATTCTTGGTTTGCTAAGGCAAAACATAATATGTAGTACTGTATTTTTAGTGGCTATAAAAGCCAACCACACTATCATGATTTAAGTTGCTTAAAAGAAATTGTAAAAAATTAGGGTTCCCATCATTATGAGGAAGGCCAAGTTTATAGGCCTCTATAAAGATATTAAAATAGTCCAAGTGTCTAAAATTAGAAATAAATTTCTATGTCTTATTTAGGGAAGGCTTGGTTTTGCTTTGCTTTTATATTCTGTAAGATCACTTTGAAATACAATTGCAATCAGCAACAGCTAGGACTTTGACCGTAATGTTTGTACTTTATTGTTTAAATTTTTAAAAATACTGTCTTGTTTTGTTTAACTTCTCAAGCAAGTATGCTAGTGCAGACAATCTGGTTTCTTCCCTCTTCATGTTTTCATTGGCATACCATTGGCATACCCCATGTCATTTAATGCTTCATAACTTATTTGTCTCACTCACCACCCATCCTGTCTGTGCAGTGAGCTTCTTATGCTGCCCAGAGCAAAACGAGGACGAAGTGCAGAATGCCTACATACTACCAGGTAAATACAGGGATTTGGTAATGCTAACTGTGTGTGATGACTCTCTTTCCATCCTACTATTCTTCCGTCTTTTCCCTAGTGGTATAATCACAAATACGTAAAATTATTTTCCCAAATATTCAAAATTTGTTTCATTTTATATGGAGGCTGTGGAAAAGCTTCCAAATATATTTTAATTCTGATTCAGGCAGTCGACTTTTCTATTTGTATGCTCAAAAATACAGAGACTGGTGAGCTTCTGCAGAACTGTTTTCACATTCCTAAAACTGAGGAGCCAATTTCTGCAATTAAAATCCTAAGGGCTCACTCTGAGCAGCCCCACCCCAATACACACACCTGTCTAGTCACAAGAGGTCTGAACTACTGTGCATGGCACTGTTATTGTTTTCATGATTATAAGTTTGCTTTTTCTTTTAGCTTTTTTAAATTTCCTTTTGGGATCTACTATTGAATATATATATATATATATATATATAGCCTTTAATAAAATCTTTACCAGTTTATTTTTTATTTTTTGTGTTATTTTTCAATTTTTGTGATTTATATGCACTTTGAGAAAAATTGATTGTGTTGATTGTTTACACTTTTTTAATTACTGAGCTTCAACTTCCTTCATGATAAAGAGAGGATATCTGAAATGCTAACTTCTAACCCTTCCCTCCTTCATCACACCAACTCAGAAATACTGCAGTACAAACTTTTTCTAAAGGCAGGGAATGATATGATGCCTCTTTAAAGGTGAGAAGGAAAGGGGATCTGACAGTCTCCTCTGTATTGGAGCTTAGAACCTATACTTTATTTTCATCTCCTTTCATCTTGGATTTCACATCCAATTAAATTCCCTTACAGATTACTCATAGAATTCAGTGTGTAAATATTTATTGTCCATTTGGAGTTAGAAAATAAGGAAGTGAAATAACCAACAGAGAGACAAACTTTTCCAAATATTTTGGCCAATAAAAACTAAGTAGGAAAGAGCTATAACTGGAATACCAGCAATGCAAGGACAAATGCAGAATATATTATGTCTACAGTACATGGAAAATGAGTTTCTGCTTAATAATGCAAATATTAAGATGCAAATGCTAAGAAGAATTGTTTTAACTTTCCATATGTATAAAGTCCTATTAATAACTACTGCCATGTTTACTTGTAGTGCCACAGGGAAAAATAAGGAAAATTTAGTTCTGTTTGTGGAGTAGGGGAAAATATACAAAATCATAAATATTATAAAAAAATTAACTCATCCTTTATAATGCTCAACTGTCTGGGCTTACCATTAGTTGCTCTTCATGACTAATAGTTTTTTAATAGAGACAGTTTTTTTCAGAAATTCAGAACGTTTTTCTAAGTCCTATTAATCTGAATAACTGTAAAAAAACAACAACTAAACAAACAAACAAACAAAAACCCTAAAAACTTTATGTTTATTAGGTACCTGAGTGGGAATTTCTAACATATTCACACTAATAGTCTAAATAGACTAGCCAAATTTATATAAATTTTTAGTTTTCTTATTTTCTACTTCTAAAGGTGAAATAGCAGGGTTTACATGACATGACATACCAGTAGTTTAATCATTTTATACAGTCTTATCTTCAGAACACATGATATCTATTCACTTATGAATTTTCAGAATAAAATTTGAGGATTTACTCTTTCCAGTAAACAAGGAAAATAACTTTTATTGAGTACCAAGCACAGTGTTAAGTATTTAATATATTTTATCTCAATTTCCTGACAGTAACTATGTGATATTAATATTATTATTCTCATTTACAGCTAAAGAAAGATAACAAGAAAGTTTAATTTGATAAGGGACAGAGAAAGAATTCAAAAACAGGCCTATTCAACATTTCCCACTAAACCAGTTTTTTCAAAAATATATTCTGAGGAGTTAGTCCATTGTGATGTTCTACCAATAAAAGTTATTTACTCAGACAGATTTTGGAAACATTGCAAATTAAAGCCCCTCCCTGGAGATTTAATATGCACAGCACATTAGTCATGCACTAAAGAAAACTCTCATTAAGTCATTTTTTCCTTATATCACTTAACCATTAAACTCTTTTTCATAAAATATATCTTCAGAAAGTAATGCTGAACAGAAAATATTGTGGCTGCCTCACTGTTCTAGATACTTTATACCTGTTTTCTCATTCAATTCTCACAGCATCCCATAGAAAAAGGCTTAACCACTTGACCTGAATTACCCAGGTTAACAGTCAATAAGTGGCAAAGCCTTGGCGGTCACTTAGACCTTCATACTGTAAATTGTATGTTGTTGTTTTCCATTCATTGTCCCATCCTATGCTGATCCCTGTTCCTGAAGAAAATCACTTATGAATCAATTGATTAGAAGTTATATAGCATCCTGTTACCAAGGATAGCTGCCTAAGTTAAGAGTTGAAGACTATTTATTGTCTCTAAAGAGACAGAATCATTAGTTCCAGTAAAATTTGTCTTCAATTTGTGCTAGAACATTGTACTCTAATACATTTTTAAACAAAAGCTTTAAGAGTTTTCCTTGGATTCAACCATTAGTATACACCTGGCTAACCCAGTGGGGTGTTTGATGTTATGATGTGCTCAGCGAATGTTATTCCCTTCTCTATCATACTTTAATGCAAGCCAAAATGGACAATGGGCTTTCACAGTCAGTAATTTATTAAATTATCAAAAAGTTGATTAACAAATTACTTTGCTCATGATGGTATAGATAGTTCAGAAACCCTCATTGATTTTAAAGGAATTCAGATAAAGTTTGGACTTATTTTGGTCATTTCCTGCTACATGAGATTTCATATTCTGGTTTGTATCTAATGCCCATCTCACCCAATTTTCAATTATAGATTATACCTACGGTCAGGTTTAAATCTAGAAGCTTTTAATGAAAAAAAACTTGCTTCACTAGAGTAGCTTCTTGATCTTTTGCCATTTCCTAATTGAGTACCACAATCAACCTCATCACTACAATGTTGGTCAGTTATTGAATTCTTAGAATATTAACTCCTAGTCATATTTTGATTTCCAGATTACATAAATATTTGACTAGTACTTTGAGCTAGGAGTTATTTACTTCCATGGAAGCAGGCATAATATTAAATCAGTAATTACATAGTAAGTGTAAATATTGGTAATTCATATAGAGTAGTTAGCAGATATTTTTCAAATTAAAGCAATTGAATTATAATTTTGAGTTATCTTAATTATGAAGACAGATGTCTATGGTTAATATTTTAATTATCCTATTCCAACCTTCAAATAAGTAATTTGCTTATTTTGAGAGAAAAAAAGTAACAGCAAAATAGCCATCAATGTTTGTAGCTTTATAGGCCACCTACATTCTTTATACCCTAGTAAAATTTGCTTTATATATATCTTTCTGTTTCCTGAATGTTTGTGTGGCCATGTTTCAGACATTGTAGGCCTTTATAAAACCTTACTGCCCAAGATGCCTTTATTACAGAATGGTTCTCACTGGGGTAGTTGCAGAAAGAACCATAACAGTGAGTCCCAGTTACAAACTAATCCTTCGCCCATTAAAGACAGCAAATTTACATTCTAGTAAAGCCTTAGCATTTTCCTTGAAATTAATTAAACGCAGAGAAACATTCAATTAATGGTATCTAAAATAGTTTTAATTATAAAATATGAATTCTAGATTCCTCTAAATGAAGTCCTACTCAAATGTCAGAATTCTAGCTGTCTTCTTTGTCATTTATTTCTTGTTTTATCTGTTTATTTTACCTGTAATAGTTAATTTCATATTATTTTATTTTTGGATGATTTTAACTTGTGACATTCAGTTCTGCCTGCACATACTCAAACTGAATCAGTGATTAGACAGGACTTTCCCCTTCATCGTTTCTGTTTTAACTCAAAAGTATTGAGATTTACTGATGAAACACTGGTTAGGTAAGAACATGTGGAAGACTTACCTTCCTTCCACTTCCCTTGTCTAGCTGAGTTATAAAAATTTTCTCCTCTAATGTCCTTCATTTTGTTTTGGTGTGGCATCTGTTCTTGGTAATGAAGTTTTAGGCATTTTGTTGTAGTGCTTTTTGTATCCAGTTTTGTGAATGTGTGTGTGTGTGTGTTGTGTTGTTTTCATAAGCAGGTGTGATTTGGTTTCATTTTCCAGTCTGAGAACCTTCTTAAAAAATTATGCAAAGCAATTCAAGCATAATCTTTGTTTAGTTTCATTTTCTAAACAAAATTTTGCACCGTCATCCTGTCAGCTCTTTCACACCCTTATGAACTGAATCATGGTGATTCTACATTTTGTGTAAAGGGGACATTATTTTATGCTTTACTCTCTAACATGGTCTTCCTTTCTTTGTTTTCTTTGTCTTTCTCTTCTACCATTGGATGCAATGCACTGGCACTAGTGAACTGCAGCCCTCCCTTGACAGGGCTAGGAGTGCTAGTACCAACTGCTTGAGACCAGATACTAGTTTGCATTCACCAGAACGAGAAAGGTATAAAATGAAGACTTTCTTAATTTCCTGTCATCTGTACTAGTGATTTTTTTTTTTCTAAATCACTTTGTGTTGTTTCATGTGAGTCTTGCAGGCTTATTCATCCATGTTCACTTTGCTAATTGTTTACATTGTCCCCTCCCTTACTGTACCCGTCTATGGAGAGATATGCGTATGTGGATAAACCCAAGGGCCTACATACACATATTTCCATGAATGTTGTTGCAAATGGTGTGGCGTAATTTGGAGCTGCTTCTGGCTGCTGCTTTTCCCCTTCTGTTGCCTTTTAGTTGTTTTATTTACATACTACTCAGGGAGCCTTCAGTATGCTGATAATGTTATAAGGTCCAGTGAGTTATCTGAAGGGGAGGATCATTTTTCTATTAGTCCAACTGAGAAAAAGTATTTATAAGTTCAACAACAAACTTCCATACCTAAAAACAAGAAACCTATTTAGATAGAATCCTTCCCCCATGCATCTAGATTCACTTTTTAGCCAATCTGCTCTTTGATATAGAACAAGTTTTGCATTAAATTATATTTTAATAACAAAAAATGGTAGGTTCACCATAGATTTCTTAAAAAATAAACACATAAAATATATGTGTGCATATAAACACACAATTTTGCTTAAAACTTTTAATAGATTAGTAAATGATTATATTTTTTAATTAAAATGTATTCTGTGCTTATTACACTGCATCCTAAGTGTGAGTAACTAATTTTTTCATTATGATGGAACTTTCTATTTCAGTAAACTTGGTGATAATTGATAGTCTTGGTTATAATTGTTACCTGTTTTTAATTAGAAGGTACCCAATGGAAATTTGCATACTAAGTCTGCAAATCCCGCAGAAAAATATTTAATCATGCTAATGTAAGCTCCTTCTTCTTTAGAGGCTCCTTAAAGCTTTTCTTTAGCGATATAACTGGTCTGATTCTATTCACTTACTTATCAGATGTTTATTTATACAATGAAATAACAGGTACAAGTATACATACTCATTTTTTAGTATCCTTGTAGGATTCCACTAAAAATCCCTTTATTTTGTCTTCTTTATATTTGTAAAATTTGTAATAGGAAAAGTAAAATTAACTATATTTTGTATTTTTTACATTTGTAGTAGAATTTTAGTTGAAATAACTATAGACTGACTCTTCAAAAGGCACAATAAATAGTATTTTATTTTATTTTGTTACAGATTAACTCCAAAAATAAACACAATAGTAGTGAGAAATTTTTTTTTTTAATTCTTATTACTTCCTTATATGTTTCTGGTTAGTACTAAAACAAGGGCATAAAGAGCTTAAGCCAGTAGACACTTCTGACTATAACAACATGCTAACATTTTTTATACCATCTATGTCAGTGTTATCTAATAGAAATATAATACAAACCACATGTCATTTAAAATTTTCTAATTGCCTTTTTGAGATTATTTGAAATCAAATTATTTTAATGCTTAAAGTTAACCTAGTATGTATGAAATATTATCATTTTAACATGTACTCAATTAAACACTATTTGTTAGATATTTTGCATTTCTTTTTTCTTTCTTTCTTTCTTTCTTTTTTTTTTACAATAGCCATATGCGGTTTGTGGCTGCCATATTGGACAGCACAAGTCTGTTCTCAGGCTGAAGATTATCTGGCATGTGTTCCCTGGTGACACAGAAGCCACAGAGTTCATACATCAGTCTCTCAGATAACACCCTTAAAACAGCTCACCCTGTAGAAAAATAATCTGGCCTCAGTTATCATGAAGGTCAGGTCATCATGACGTCTAAGTGGGAATACTTACATTTGATAGAAAAACAAAAATGTGATTGAAAACCTATATTCATTCTATACATCAAATAAAAATAAATTTGTTATTAAAAAATGAAAGGGGACAGGGAGTGATATTATCAATAATTTTTATTTTATTTGGGTTACTTTGTTTCCAAGAAGGAAATAAGGTGAGATGTTTAAATAAAGAAAATCATCAAAGTGGTAAATGCTTATTGATTTGATATGGACCTAAGTGTCCTTTTGTGCCCACACCTATAAACAGATTTGAAGCAGAACATAACAATATCAACAGTGGTGACATTTTTCTCTTTGGAAAAATGTACCTGAAGTTCCCAGGCAGGATGTGCAGAGAGTATGAAGTGGGAGGCTTAGACTCTAAGCCTTAGAGGGTTCTCCAGGTTGAATTGCTCTGGTTGAACAGAAAGTTTCTTATGTCAATGTCTAATATATGCATCGTGGATAAAATGTTAGAGAAAATATATTTAAAACCTAATTTCATATTCTTAAAATAATAACATATTTCCATAACTTTGTGAACTACTAAGTTAAACACTTTGCTGATCTGACTTCAAGCCATTTTGATGAATATAATATACACTGTTATATCAACTTAATATGCTTTTTGAAGTATCCTCACTAACTTTGAAAACAAATGAAGTTTTGTGTTAATATAAAAGATGAAATTGTCAAATCAGACTTAATGCCCAACAGCATACTTCGTGAATGATTCAAAGTGAAGGAACAGCGGGCACAGTTGGCAAATTCTTTTTCTGAAGGATTCCAAAGCCATCGGATCCACCTTTTCTCCCCTTGTGAAGTTGGTGTGGCCCAAGTTAACAGATAAATTCAGAATAATTCGTGTAGAAGCACTGTTCCCGTTTTTTGAGCGCCTCCATTTTGTATTCTTTTGAGTACACAAATAACAAAATTGCTGTGGATTATTCCTTTCCCCAATTCAGTCATGACCCATGACTCAAGAAATATTGAGTTTATTTACCATAAAAGATCTAATTATATCCTACTGAAGACTTATAATAAGGACACCCCTTTATCTTTTCACTAGCAAATATCACTGCATGTTTACAAGATCTGGGCCCTATTCTTTATCTTTATCAAGGCCTGTCTGAGGTCATTCATTCTCCCTTTTCCCCTGATTGGAAAGGAGTAAGTTACAGTTGTGTATTATCCTTCCCCAGGTTTTGGAACAAATCACTGCTTATTATGTTCAGGGACACTAATTTTTAGAGCCACTGGAGAACAGTTACATTTCTCAGATGTTTCATTTTCTTCCTTGATTTATTCATAAAAACCGGAGCCTTACTGAAGGCTCATCAAAGGGCAGTCTATATTTACTACTTCCCTTTTTTACCTCCCAGCAATCCTGCAGGAGTGAATTCTACCAATTCCCTTGAAAATGCTCAAAACAGAACTTCACTTTGATCACATTTCAGCCCATCTCCAGTTCCACTGTCACTCTTGACCCTATTAAATATCCTCCTAAGCTCTATTAATAATTTGCATTACTTTTTGTCTCCCTAGTTTTATTTCCATTAAGATTAAAATGCCCCATTTCCTTCGTTATCCACTTTAAAATTCTACTCTTTTCTTCACAAATACAAGTCAAATAGCCATATATTTTATAAAACCTTTCTTAACACTATAACTCCCCCTTGACTAAAATGAACCATGGGAATCATTTATTCAGATTTAGTTTCTAATATCATAATAGTCCACAAATATTTTATTTGTGCTATTTGTGAAATGAATGATTCATATTGCCATGTAATTCCTCTTTTGGATAATGAAGCTGTTGGCCATGTTCTGCCAAGATATATGCACTGTTGGAAGATGTCCACATATGAAAGTGTATATATTAACTACACACTTAAATACATACATATTTGTCTTAAGGTGTATAGTGCTGAGGGAAAAGCCACAATATAAGAACTATTTAATTGCTTACTGAGTCCTGACAGTTCTAATTCTCTTACATCTCATCAATGGGTCCCCTCTCAACTATTTATTTCTTAGTTAAGGTTTTCATTATTTCTTACCTGTACTACCACAAAACCTATAGTTTTATCTCCTTATTATCTACTTAAATATTTATAAATACTTATTGATTATATATTCTGTGCTATGCATAATTTATGTATCTCTTTTAGCACAACACAACACTATAGTGCCTTATGCAAGGAGCTCACAGCCTTTTAATTCAGTCCCATAGACATCAAGGTAATCTCTTTTTTATTCTGGGTCCAGTGAAAATTATGGGCTCCCAACAAGGTAGATGTTCCTGAATTAATGAGTTTAGCATGCCTGATATTAAAGTACTAAAATGTAACATAAGCCAGCTGTTAGGGTGGCTTAGTTCAACTTCATGATTAATAACTACAACATAGCCTGCCATGTTTGAAGCTGTGTGTATGGCTCAATCACAGGGGACAAAGAGTTTGATTTTGGTCCTTTTCTTTAGTGCAATAGAAGGAAAGGATTAGGAAATTGCATACATTTTAAAAGCATATAAAACATTCTAGTCTATTTGCAGCTCACAAATGTAAGATACTAAAATGTATGTAATATCTGTTATTTGGGGGTAGGGAATTCGGTATAAATTGATCCAACTCCCATAATATAAAATATATGAGGAAAAAGCAAAGGCAATTCTTATATTGGTATTACCTATCAGCATATTCAGAAGGACTTTGAGTGTACAAATATACATGAAGTATGCTAAATATTTCTTCAAAAATTACCTGTTAATGGCTTGTATTCACAATTGCTTGTTTCTAAGTGTACATCTTTTTCCTTCACAGCTTTCACTGCATGTTCAATAATTACAGCATTTTTATTTTTTATTTTTGTGTTCAAAATAAACAACACAGGGACTGGAATTTTGCCTCAGAAAGCAAGGTTATTCATAATCCTGTTGAGTTAATATTCCTTATTACTTTACAAAAATACAGAACTCTATTTTTGTGTTTTCAATAATACCATAAGTTTTAATACAACTGAATATAGCAATGTAGAAACACTGCAGTTGTCATTGTTTTCACTTATTTGAGAAATATTTCTCTTTTTTTGTATTTGGAGAAGAAAAGCCAGTAAAGTAAAAACGATACATTTTAAAGCATTCATATTGGATTGACCAATTGTTTAAATAATTATGTAATTTAAAATTAATGTCAGATGTTTTTTAATGTTACAAACATATAACACATTTAAGAATACATGCTACACAGTTTTTCCTCTGTCCAAATTCTACTGTTTAATATCTTTATTTGCTTCACAGCTTCCTCTAAAGCCCTGCTTGACTCGGGCCAAGTCTGTCTACCTAGAGCTGACAGATTAGGCACAGGCTTCCAAGGAGCTTTCTGAATTAAGTACCTGCTGACCTCAGATATCCTGTTCACATGTTAACAGCCCTTTTCTGATTTTGTCCAAATTGTCTAAAACATCCAATTAGCCAAGTTATTAAAAAAAAAAAAAAAAGGCTGGATTTCTTTTTTGAAACATTAGGCTAGTCTACTTGGGTAACTAAAAAATCTTACAGCTAGATGAGTCCTTAAAGATCATTCCATTATCCCTTGTTGCATATGAGGAAGCCAATATATGGAGAAATTATCCTGTTCCATGTGTTTAAATCTGATACACAAAATTTTCCAAATTTGGCCTGCTCAGTCCCTGATTGCCACTTTTAAGTTTTTGACCGGTGGCTTCTAAATTGTGGTTATACACAGGCAGAATATCAAAATAGTTTAACAGAGGAATGAACCAAGTTTCAAACACTTGTTTAAATTTTAATCACAAAAAGTGTATTATTATAAGTGCCAAAATTAAAGAAAGACAACTATTTAACCAATGGAGAGCTACTTTTGCAAGTAAAGATTACACATTTTATTAAAGGTAGTGCCATTTTAGAATGACGCATATCTGTGTTTCTTGTTTTTATTCATCAGTAATTTTTAAATTTCAGTAATTAGTGCTGCAGTTTTTCCCAAGAAAACTTGCTAAGACTTCACTGCTAGCATCCACACAAAGGATTTCTTCATGCCATTGTTTACACACTAGAGAACATTTTGATTTCTTCCACTTAAACTGTGTCTACTTTGAATTAAAGCTATACATCTTACCTTTACCATTTGATCCAGTAATTTCAAGGCCTACTATCAAATAGGCCTGGGTGGCTTATTATACCTCTTTTATTCAAACATAAGACAGATACTTAAGAATGCATCTTTCTAAATTTAAAGTTACATACATTTGTATGTGTGTATAGCTAGGTATAAAAACACAAGTACATTTTAAAAGGACAAAATTACAATAAAGAAATTTAAAAAAATAAAAGGGAAAAAAATTACATTCAATAGATTTCAAATACCTTCTCAAATAAATTGGTTTTTTATTCACTTAAACGTTTTAAGATCTTATTTTCTTATAGTATTATATTGCAATTTGTCTTTTCAAAGTTTGTAAAGATGAGTTATTGATCAAAGAATCTACACTTTGCCTTTTTGGAGTGCTTTTCCAGTCCTACTGTTCCATATGTTCTTTTATTTTAAGAGTTACTAAATGTCCTGTTTTTTCCTGTCTTGTTCATTGGGCAAACAGGGGTAGATGGTCCCCTTCCCTAGATAGGAGACGACCTCCTAGTCCCAGGATTCAAATCCAGCATGCTTCTCCGGAGAATGACAGGTACTAGTCAACTCCTCCTAACAGACAAGTGGCTTCCAGAGGCTAGTAGGCCACAAAGTTAAGGATAACCAAGAACAATGTTGGTTATGACATGCTTCCTTTCAGGGGCAAGAGCCAGATGTGCTGTGATTCCATCAATACATGCATCCAGCTTTAATAAAGCACCTCAGAATTAGTGCCATGAGGGTAGCATGCCTGAAATGAATGGCTGTGTGCAAACACAGAAGGTTGATTCCAGTGGAAGAGTTGTTTTAAGGATGAACATCTATTTCATAGTTTTCAATTTCGAAGAACATAATTAACTGTTGTTTTGTTTACATATGAATAACTAAAAATTCTCAGGTGCTTTAAAATATGTTAAAATCTGTCCAGACCTATTCTTTGTTTTATTGGTTGATGGTGTAGTCTCGGTTGTCTTGTTTTGTTACCACATAAGCTTGTTTTTAATAAAATACAGGCTTTGGGGTATATTTAAAAATGTCTGATTTAGAGTAGAACACCTCGTTCTTATATATAATACTGTGTTTTTACGCCAAAGGCTTTCAAGGGCTAGGGTCAGTCTACAAAGTAGGGTGTTGTGTTTTTTTTTTTTTATTTTTTTAAAGCATCTGTGCTTTGAATCTACTTCATTCTGATATATCAGAAGTGCTGCAATATATATTTTTCATTGATTTGTTATCCTCAATTGAAGTTTACTCAGTTCTCTTGTTTTATGGTGCTTGTTATATTTTAATATAGTTCTTATCTTCAAATATCTTTCCTGACTTGGATGCTTCTCTTTTAGTGTAAGCAGAAATTCAGTTAACACATTGGTAATTTTTATTAAGTAGACAGCATATATGGTATTTTAGAAATAGAACAACTAGTTATGGCAGTGTACTGGTTCCTTTTTTTTTTTTTTAAGTATGTGTGTATAGAGCAGAGTAATTGTGACCTTATTTAAGAGTAATATCATTTATTTTCTGTATCCATAGTCCATACATCTTCAGGATTTCAACTTGAAAGAAACATTAAACACTGTCAGAACAAATCAATAAATAATTTTACAAATGTTGGGAAAGATCACAAACTGCTATTTTATGAAGGCTTTTGAGATAGTTTATCATTTACTTGTTACTATTGCTTATATTTATATATTTTGGATTTAAAAGTTATTTCTTCTGCTGCTGTCTGATTTATAGAATAACATTTCTGGGACTAGAAAAATTAGCAAAATCTTTCATCTAAAAATATTATAAATTTAAAGTCTTTTCAAATAAGAATATACAATAATTGTATAAATCAAATAAAACTTTATCTCCACATTGCTACTCACTGTTTATAACAAATACTTAATGTATCTCTACTGTGTGCACTATTCTAATGGCTAAAGCCACAATAGTGTTTATAAAAGCCAAGGTCCTGGCTATCAAGGAACTTACATTTTATTTTGTAAAAAGCAATTCTGAGAAGCCTTTTATTTATTCCAAAACAAGTGAGTCAGATAATTTAATCTTATTGAGATATGTAATCAGTGTTTGAGTACAGGACAACCAAAGATGATAGTTTTTGTAATGAACATAATGTAAGTTTATCTGGGCCTGTGTGAGCAAAACAGAATCCAAATAATAGATTTTAGTTCTTATATACATGAAAATTAGTTATCATATAAAGACATATGAATTGTAAATTATATTATTTGATTTCATGGATTACATACATAACTTTAAGGATAGATTTAAGCTTCAGAAATACCCCTTTTAGATAAGATTATAAAGAAATTATTACTAATACATAATTATGAATATATACTTGACTCTTATTATGACTTTTTGGTGTAGAAATTCTTTGTTAAACAAAAAATGTATTTCAAATACCTTGATATTATGATTTATTGCTGTAAGGAACAAAATTATTTGCAATAAGTTTTTATTATGAAATTTATGTAACTGTAAAAATGAGACATCATTTCATCAAAAATTATAAGGTAGCTATGTCAACCACTTGGCAAAACTTAACACTTGCATTTACCTCTTATCAGTTTTTTTACTCATTCAGAAGTTTCTACCAATTTGCAAATGAAGTGAACATGTCATTATATTTGCAGATAGTGAATATAGATAAGATGGCTTTTGTCCTGGGTAGCTGGAAAATATTCTAAAATCAGTGACAACTCATACAATCAGACTTCGGATATCCTGGGTTGGGGCCATCATTGACAATTTTGAAAATAATATTTAATTTTTAAAAGTAAACTTTTGCTTCAGAGAATTTTCTAGTAAGTTGGAAAGCAGTTAGTTGACCTCTTATTTCTCATCGTATGCAGACACACACAAGTTTGTAATTTCTCAATAATTGAGTTTCACTAGTAACCAATCTTGCTGTTATCTGAAGTGGTTCAATAAATTTGTTTTGAACTCACAGAGAAATACTTTTATCTAAATATAAGAGTAATTTTTAAAGTTATAGGATATTTACAACAATAAAGGGGGGGGGAATAGAAATTTGTAGCCTCAGGGAATGTTCTGACTTTAAAAATGTAGTGAAAATTTTCTTGCAGCTTTGTTACCAAAAATGTTGAGACTGTTAAGAATATAATTCCAATGACAATGTATCCCTTTGTAAATAACATTATTTTAATATATAAGTAGTAACTTCTATCAACCTTTATGTACGTAACTATGAATCATAATGTCGGTATACTTGTGGCTTCCGATTAACCACGATTTGCGAGTAGCAAGTTAGAAAAAAATGTATTTTAATACATTTTAAATTAACTGCATTAATGATAAAAAATGTAAATGATATTAAATGATAAAAAATTTTAATATAACAAAAGCATGATAAAACTCAAAATAAGAAGATATGATGAAATCAGTATAACTCTGTTTCATTCACTTCTGTTCAGGGATTCCTTCAATAAACATTAAATAATTCAGTGTCACTGAGTGGCTTAGTGGACAGAGAACCTGGGGACATGCTGTTGGTGTCCCCACCAACTAATTACCTTGGGTTGTCAATTAAACTTTCTAGGGCTTAGTTTTCTCTTCTGTAAACTTAGATACTTGTAGAGGAACTCTCTGAAATCTAATTGAGACACTAGTTAGACTCAAATTGATTCATGCTCCCTGTTGAATCATGAGAAACATACGTTGATCCAGTAATAATGGCTGACACTTCATTATACATAAGGCAGTAACCAGAGAGCAGTTCTTATTTGAGGTATTTTATAATACACTGAAGCTTAGGAAACAGTGCAAAGTTTTTTTGTTTTTTGTTTTTAATTCACTTGATGTAAACTGAGTTTTATAGTTAGTTTTTTTTAACTTATTTTAACTTTTTAGGCTCTCAAATTCTAGTATAGTACTCAAACTATTACTGTTTTTAACCATCCACTCAACAAATAGTTGTTAAGCAGATACTGTGTGCTCTGTATTTATGTTACAATAATAACCAGACACAGTTCCTAACCACAAGGAATTTAGAAGGACTAGTTTAAGGTAGGAGGTAGTTTATGACACTGTGATGTATTTTATTATTACATGATTAATAGTTTCAATACTATAATACATAAATATAGGTTGATTTTTTTCTAACCTTTTTTCATTTACATAGCACAAGCTTTTATTTATCTCTAGAAAGACCTGTGTTTCAAGCATTACAGTATATTCTCAGCTATAACTTGGGATTCAGGGTAGAAACTACATTGGAGTTTTAAAATTTTTTCTCTAGTCTCACTTTTTACTGAATTATCATAATTAAGTGTATATCATTTTCATTCAATTTGAAGATTCTTCCAAGTGGTTGGAAGAATTATAAGTACATATGCTGTGCAGAAATATTTAGAAGAATATTCAACAAAATAAATTTCTATGGCATTTAAAGAGAGAGGGGAAAAAAGGACATCCTTAAGATGGTTAAAAATGAAAACAATTAAAAAGTTAGATGTTTGAACTTTTTTATTAATATTTATCACCCAGTTAGGAAGCATTGAATCTTATTTAATATGTTTAAAGCACCTACCCCTTGCTGTTCTAAGCAGTGCTGTAACTACCACAAATCCTCGTTCTACATCATAGTATGAAACTATCATTACTGAAATACAAATACCACATAATATTGATATGTTTAGAATTAGCAAACCTGTGAGGTGGTAGTATTTTTATTGCCACTTTGCAGTGGGGAAACAACAGGAACAGAGAGGTTTAAGTAATTTACCTAAAATTACCCTGCTAGACAGAGATAGCACAGAGATTAAAATGAGGCAGTCTGACCCAGCATCCAAGCTTTTAGTTACTACGTTTCGGTATTATTTATGCTACAGATGCAATGTGCATAGGATATTATTACGGACCCAGTTCATTTCATGGTTTGACATGTAATAACTACGTGGGTTAGAGCAAATTATTTAACCTCTCAGTCTCAATCTCCTATTCTTAAAAAAATAGGATAAAAGAGTAGTACCTGTCTGGCTGGCTTGGTGTGATTAGATGAGACAATGCAGGTACATGATCATGCTAACATGCAGCAAGTGTTAGATATTAGAGCCATCATCATCATTGTCATCAGCATCATCAATTATGGTGATGATCAATCTAATATATGAATCATTCAGTTTTAGGAGATGAGAAGAGGAAGAGCTAAGAGTTTTACAGAGGAAGTAAATAAACTCTCATTGAGTCTAGAAAGATCCATACAAATTACTAGGGGTGGGAGGAAACGCAGACAAGTTCTAAAATATGCCTATAAGTATTTTGTCAGGCAATGTTAGAAAGTTTGTACAAAGGCTGCCAGATTCTCTACATCTCTAGCTCCCCCCACCCCAGTCTCTTGTCATCTGATGCTCCTCTTTTAGCACTTTCCTTTCTGGTCTCCTTACTGTGGCTTGAACATACCAGACACACAACTGGCCTCGGGCCTGTGACCTCGATGTTACCTTTTCCTGGACCATGCTTTCCCTGGATATATGCATGGCTAACTCCCTCACCTTATGTCTTTGTTAAAATGTCCCCGACTCAAGGAGTCCTTCCCTGAGCACCCTACATAAAGTGGTGAATTGCAGCTGCCCCCAGCCACTTCCCACCCACATTTCTGACCCTTCTTGCCTTGGTTTACTTTTTGTTGTCTTAGCAGGTATCATCTTTGAACATACTATATAGATTACTAGTCTGAGGGGTTTTGTTGTTGTTGCTTATTTGTCTTCTACCACTATAATGCCAATGAAAAGAAATGAGCAGGCCCAGCGGTCTCTGCGCCCTGTGAAGGCAGACTTGGTACTTTGAAGTGTGTCCCTAGTGCCTACCAGGGCTTGGCATAATGTATTTTTAACACTAAGGATATCTGACACTAATAAGTAAGCAGAGCAAAGGGAAGAGAGTAGTTCTTAAAAGTTCTCTTCACAGGAAAAAAACATTTAGTTTGTGTGGTGATGGATGTTGACTAAACCTATTGTGGTGACCATTTTGCAATACATACAAATATCAAATCAGTGTTTGTACACCTAAGCTAATATAATCCTATATGTCAATTATATCTTTAAAAAAGACAAGCAGTTTCCTCCTTAACATTGTTGAAAGGAAGGAATATTGGGAAAGAATAATTGCATAAATTATAGACAATCAATGACAGGTAAAATACAATTTTATTTATGGGCATTTTTATTTTTGGTATGTGAGTTTCTTCACCATGATATTTTATATTTATTTCAAATATATTGTAGTCCAGACACATTTTAGGTTAAGTAGGTATATGTAAACTGCCTTAGGGATATAAGCTTTACATATAAACATTATTTCTTTGGGAAAATGCACTTGGAGTCCCAAATGTTCAGTGTACATATGTACTTTTGGGTCATGGGGTAAACTGGGAACATTATTAGTTCTTTGACTTGTGACGTGATTGGCTTTTTAAAATGCTATATGATTGGGGGGGGGGGAAAGCCATACATAATTGCAAAGGCATCTTTATGATCATTTAATAGTTAATTTTAAATACTCTTACTTATGTCAAATGTTTCACTATGGCATTTTCTTTTCTTCATAATTCTGTGGGAGAAAAAAGGAAATAAAGGAAACATCTTTGTAACACCAACTTTCATCTTGTAAAAGTGAAGTCATTTCACCCCTTTGTGGTCTGTTTGCACTTAAACCATTGCTGTCATCACATCTGTCATCACTGCATTCGCCATCGGATTTGTTTGCTCATTAGGAGAGGCACAGTTGCTCAGCAGGCGTCCCTGTTAAGTCATTCCTGTTGACTTGCCCATCTAGACTAATGGAATGTCAGCTTGTTGTCTTCTGTTGGACAATTTATGTCTTCCACACAGTACAAGTTCTGATTTTTATCTCATTTTAAAAAGTTCTGACTGACAAAACCATTAGGTAAGATGGTTCCCATTTTTCATGCCTGTTGCTTTTATCATTGTATGATGTTACCGCAGCCTTATTCATCATATTTTTTTTTTTATTTCTTTAACACTTCATTCCACAGGCACTCCAGAAAATCTGAAAGATCTAGCCTCCAAAAACAGACTAGGAAAGGCATTGCTGCTGATGCAGAAAGGTAGGCTCGGTGTTGTGCTGTGCAGCCATCTTCTGTTTTATTAACGCACTCAGGGTGCCTTCACTCGGATTTTATATGATCAGATCAGCTCTTATACACAGATGGTGATATTGAGAGATATTTGTGTAAATAAATCACCTATGTGGGAATAGTATCATCAAAAAAACAAAACAAAAAAACAAAAAACAAGAGTGAGGCAGCCCTTATATCTTAGGGATCAAGAAAAGTCTCACATAGAAATTTTAGTGATTATTCTGATTTTAAAAGAGAATTAAATGCATATTTATTTTTGTATACATACTAGGACATTCATAATTTGTTTCTGAGATTATGTTAACAATGAACATAGTACCTAAATATGCAAATATTTTATTTGAGTATGTTATTTATCTGAATAATGCCTTTTAAAAATTGTTTTCCTACAAATGGATAATCTAAGAGTCTACTTGTATATTGCAACCAAAGGTATTTGTTTAGTTAACTTAGAAATTATTAGAATTGCTGATCTTTCATTTGTGTAATTCCTCTAATTCTGCAAATTTTTTTTTAATATTTTGAGTGTGAGATATTTGTTCACATTTTACATAGTTGTAAGAAACACCAAAAATCCAATTAACATATTTATTCATCCAACTATTATTGAAAGCATGTAGGGTGAAATGGATTTAAATGAATAAGCATATTCAAGTATCATAAAAATATGCACAAGATACAGTGAGAACATAGGGAAAAGAGTGGGGTGCTGATAACTTAGGAAATATTTTATAAACAGGTGTTTCTTTAATTAAATCCAGATACATATATATATATATATATATATATATATATATATATATATATGTTTTTATTTATTTCAGAGAGGAAAGGAAAGGGAGAGAGAAATAGAATTGAGAGAGAGGCGCATTGATTGGCTGCCTTTTGCATGCCCCCTACTGGGGATCGAGCCCACAGCCCAGGCATGTGCCCTTGAGCAGAATCAAACTCGGGATCCTTCAGTCTGCAGGCCAATGCTCTATCCACTGAGCCAAACTGGCTATGGCTGAAATATCCTCTTGAGTTTGAGGAAACCATACCTATTTGGGAAGAGAGAACAGGATACAGGAGATGGGAAAGAAGTTTGAAAATATAACTGGAAAAATCTTTAAAGATTATGTTATGAATGCCCTTGTGGGCCATGCTACAGATTTTTATGTTCTACTTTATTCCATGATCCATTAATGAATGTACTTTCAAACTGGACGTACATGATTCATTTTAAGTTTGATCACTTTGACAGCATTTTGGAAGACAGATTGAAAGTTCTGAGGGTAGACTCAAGACACCAGTGAAGCTGTTAAATAGTTTTGATTAAAATAGAATCGGTATAACACATTGATTCAGTCAACTAACAAACTTGTGCCAAACTATTGTGCTTAGTCATGGAGTAAAATAGTGAGCAGGGAGAAAGGAAGGTTTTCCAGAAGATATTTACCTCTGAGCTGGGGTCAGAAAGATGAGTAGGTATTAGTCACATCAAGGGAGATGGGAAGGGAGATAGAATTTATTATTGGCTAATGGTCTTTGGGGATATTAACTATTAAGAGAAGTTAGAATGAGAAAGGATCTGGGAAACTCAAAAAGTGCTAAGTGGGAATTCAGTTTTACAAAGGAACTGGGCTTTGAGCAAGGGGGAGATGCAGAGAGTTTTAGAATTTTAGATAGATTAGATAGGTAGGTAGATAGATAGATAATACTAATAAAATAATACTAATTATGTTTCTATTTATGTATTCTTTATTGTCAACTCAGCCAACTGCAATCTCTTTACCAGCACTGTAAACACCTTACACTTACTAAATTTTAATCTTCAACCATTATTTATAACTATGCTGTCTCACGCACACACAATTTCGGTTATTTTGACATGACTGAAAAAAATTCCTCAATGCATTCTTTTCATTTTATTCATGCTTATTTATTTTGTACGTATTTAGGATGTATCAATGAATAATTTTTTTGTTTACAAAAAGATACAGTTTTACAAAATGTTTGATGATTCTAAATCAACTAAAGGTGCTTAACTCCTGATGAGTGATATTTGGGCCTCTCACTCTGCAGCACTGAAAATATCTGTAAACACAAATCCTCCCTTCAGTGAAAATAGCAGGATTTAAATGACTCTCAATATCAGATATTTGCTGCTTAAAGACCATATTCATATTACTCTTGCCTTTACTTACTTTGCCTGTAGGTTTTTATTTGTGTGTGTGTGTGTGTGTGTGTGTGTGTGTGTGTGTGTGCACGCACGCGCGCACGCGCGCGCCCCTCAGGCATGAAACAGCTCTGGCCACCGACACAGGCATCAAGCTAGAATGAATTAAGGACTGTACCTTTGCTTTGCCCCTGCTTGATATAAGAGTATCACTACCAATCAGGTATCTCCTTGCCCCTTGCCAGGGTGTTGCCTGTAGATTTTAATAAAGAAAACTCAAACCTTTCAGGTGTGTAGACTGATTTGGTTATAATTACAGCTCCTTCTTGATTTTTATTGGAGTGTAAATTACATACAGAGTTTTAAAGTGAATTGTTGAATAGCTAGTACAAAAGAAGAAATGTTTTGGATTTCCAAACTTTGGCTAGTTCTCATTTCATTAGAATATACCTTGAGTTGACATCTAACTACAGGAGCATTGAGGTCACAGTATGAATGCTGGGTATGCTGATTTTTAGCCTTTGGGAGTTAATGACTTCTCCAAAGGCATCATACTACACAGTAATGCCGTGGCTTCTAGAACAATTTGCTGTGTAAGGATTGTAATTTTGAAGGCCTTTTGTTGGCCTAAACAAATTATGACGAATAGCCTTGTTAAGAAAATATCTTGAAAGACATGTTGATCATTTGCATATAGAACACAGGCAGAACAGAGCTCTGACTTCTGTGCCTAGCTGTTTAAAACAGTGCTTCAGATTCTTTGGGGAAACTCCTCAGTAAAAGTCTGACTTCTCACCCTCATATGAATTCTACCCAGTGAACTACTAGCTCCATTTTTGCATCCTATAATAGTGGCCTCATCTTGTGGGACCTACACTCTATCCTAATGGAAAGATGTTTCCTCAGGACTAGTATTTCGAATTACTTGAGTGTGCATTTTATGTTGATCCGATGCTGCTGGGAAGAGCTTGTTTAGGCTTGTCATGGCCATTATAGGAGGAACCATTTTGAAAATTTGACCTTAAATAGCACATGCATGTTCATCCTTTAAAAAGTCTTTTAAAAACACAACTATATTGTTAAGTAGCAACAGACGCAATTTATTGCAAGTCTGCTTATCGCAATATGTCTGACTAACCACCTAAGGTTTTGGTGAGAAATGTGTTTTACTTAAGTTCATGTCTTAAACACTAGTCGTAGGTGAAGAGAGTAAGCATGGAATGAACTTAGTGGTTGGATATGGATTTATGGATGGTGGACTAAGTCAGACACACTGAGGTTTAGTTAGAATTTTTCTCCAGAAGACTCATTGTTTTTGTTTTAAAAATATGTGATATATATAGACCTATATGGCAGATTGGGTGTTCACTAAATGCCATTTTCAATATGTTTTGTTTCTTCCAACTCTCAGAAGCTAATACTATGAAATCTTGCTAAAAAATTTAATACTTGGACATATATTTCTAATTGTCTGACAAGTTTAACAGAATGTCCAGGGGTGTGAACTTCCTTTTCTTTTTCTTTTTTCATCATAGAAGTGTATTCTACCTCAATAGGCAGAAAAGATAGAATTTGGGGACTCCATAAATGTGTGTGGATCTTGCCTTTAGCTGAGTTTCTCTCTGTCTTTTGGCAAGTCACTCTATGGTCCTCAGTTTTTCCATCCATAAAATAGGGATAATAACACTTCTCAGAGCTGTTGTGATATACAAGCAAAGAACATACATATGGGGATATATATATATATATATATATATATATATATATATATCACATTCAGCCATACAACCATACATCAAACATACATACATGTAAACACACATAGCCCCAGTGCCTGGCATGTATAGATGGCTTCATTTTGATGCTCAGTAAAGAAAATTTGTGACTATCATTCTACTTACCTCTCATTCTCTTCTGTTCCATTCTCTATTATGGTTGTCCTTCATCTCATTCTTACATTCTTAGCCCCACCATTTCATTGAAAAGATAAAAGCTCCACCACCTAGATTCTCTGGAGATTTCACTCCTCTGCCTCAGAATTTTTTGTTTAAGTCTCCTTTCCTCTTGACTAAAACAAGCTGTACTTGTGGCCATTATCTCTCACATTCAAAACCTTGCTCTTCTCTCTTCACAGTGCATTCAGCTGTCCTCAGTTTTTCTGCCTCAGTTTCTCTGCCTGTGATTCATCCTTCCTGCCACACTCCTCTCTCTTCTACACTTCTTTCAGGAAAAGTTTTCTGTGCCTCCCCTTTGGTCTGTGCTTTCATATTTGTTATTGGTTGGCTGTTGTCAGGAACTGTTTTGTTACTAAGAGACTTCTAGTTCATGTCAGAGGAAAAAAAATAGATCTGGCGAGAAATGATTAACCTGAAATAGTACAAGCTTCTATCACTGTAAAATAAGTACAAATCATACTGCAAATGAAGAAAAGAAAAAAATCCATACCTGTTTTAAAGAAGCATATATACAGGGTAGGGCAAAAATAAGTTTACAGTTGTGAGTGTGGGAAAGTTTATTCTTGTGTTGTTATTATTGTATTATTTTCTATATGAACAGCTGTAAACCTATTTCCCCATGCTGTATAGTAGTCCCTACTTATCCACTGGGGATATTTTCCAAGACCCCCAGCAGATGCCTGGAACTGCAGAGAGTACGGTACTCTATGCACACTATATTTTTGCCTATCCATACATACCTATGATAAAGTTTAATTTACAAATTAGGCACAGTAAGAATTAACAATGATAACTAATACAATAGAACACTAAAACAATACACAGTAATAAAAGGTATGTGAATGTAGTGTCTCTTTCTCTCTGATAACTGATCTGATAATTGAGGTGGCTACTAAGTGACTATCAGACAGGTAACACACCTGCAGTGTAGATACACTGGGCAAAGGGATGATTCACATCCGGGTAAGAGGGTAGGCATGGCACGAGATTTCATGTGCTACTCAGAATGGCATGCAATTTAAAACCTATCAATTATTTATTTCTGCAATTTTTTCATTTAATATTTTTGGGTCACAGTTGACTGGGTAACTGAAACCACGAAAAGCAAAACTGTGGATAAGGAGAGACTACTGTTGGTGTAAACATCAGTTTTAAATTAGTAATCCTTAACTCATAAATAGGCTTCATGATAATTTTGAATTTCATATTGAGATAACTGTCAGTTTATGGACAACTGTATCTTCAGATATTTTTTAGATATTAAAGGACATGATATCCCTATGTCTGCCCTTTGCATTTAGTCAGTTCAGGGATAAAGCTAACTCCATCTCATTATGTCATTTTAATTTGTTGGACTGTTTAAAATTAACCTCAGAAGATGTCTTCCTGTTTACTATTTGGTATAGACTTTCCTATTGCAGAGTAAAAGTGGGCATACACATTGTAAAAATATACACAGAGGTCTTCAGTGTATATTTCTTCTTGAAAGCAAGTGCTTAAAATATCCCTGTGGTCATTATTGTAATCATACTGACATTTAAATAGGGTATCTTTATGAGCTTTTGCTCAGTTCTAGAGTTCTAGGTTCTAGAGATACAGCTGAGGGGAGAGGGAGAGAGAGCAGGCAGACTGAAGTCTCTGCCCTTGTGGAACTTATAAGAACTTTATTACAGTGAAGGAGTCTGGCCTTCCAAAACCACTTGGCGTGCATATTTGCAATAACCTGTCAGTTTGAATAGAACTGCATTTCCGACATCACACGATGGGTTTCCTTCTGGGTTTTAAAAATAATGGTCTTGTAAGTGTAACCCGGTTTTCCTCGGACAGATGTGTTGGTGTCAACGTTAATGTGAACCTGCTGCTGACTGAAGATCTCTTTTGACCCTAATGTTTTAGGGTTCTCCCACCATGTCTTTCTAGAAGGGGATACGCAGCCCCAAGAGCGACTGATCAGCCAGTCCTTAGGGGAAAACATCCCGCTCGCTCGAGGTCGAGTGAGCACTCTAGTGTCAGAACCCTGTGTTCTGCCCACCACCTTGGCCCCGGAGGGTCGGCGCCACCTTCTCCGCTTCTGACCAGGTCGCTATTCAGTGTCCAGCTCAGCATTCATGTCCTGCCTCCGGGTGTTGGTGTGGTGTTGTACCTTCCCGAACACCCCACGCTTTCACTCATTACGACACCATGACTCTGATTCCGCTCTTTGTGACACTTGAACCTCTCCCACATCCTCTCTTACTTGCATCTATTTCCACTGTGCTGGTGGTATTCTCTAGTTTCTGCCAATTAGCTATCATTAACGATTAAATTTGGCTATGTTATGTCCTTCCATCATCTGTTTGTGGCATATCCATATATATATATATAAATTTTTAAGTATATAGAGTTCTTTATAAGATATCATGTGGAATCAAATGTCTATTTGCTTTAAGAAGTATAAAAAATAAAAATAAAAACATTTTACAGGTGCTTAGTAAAAGCTTAGTTTTAAAGGTGTTTAGTGAAAAGAAAGTATGTTTCAATGCCAGCAGGTGGAGGTCAGCTTACTCCTGCACGGTGGTAACATATCTGCCTGCTTCTAACATTTTTTACTTGTAATTTCATAACACGTATCCAAGGTTATTTATTTTTAAATCTTTTAATATTTTCCTATTTAAAAATAAAGTACGTGGTGATATATATAAAGTCTGCAACTACAGCTGTTTTTATCACTTATAAATAATTCTCAGTAAAAATGTGAATTAAATAGTAGCATTTAGGTAACAGCCTTTCTTAACTAATGTACCCATGCTGTGAAGATTCAGAGGCTGGGAGTACATATATTTGGCTCGGCACGACCGAAAATGGATAACCTAACAGAAAGCCACAGCTTCATGGGAAGTTCATGAAAAGAAGTGAGTCTGAGTCTGCCCAGGTCGGGAATTTATTATGCAGAACTGTGTGACAGACACTGGCCTACCTCTTTTAGCCCCTTTGGGTAATAGTTTTACACATATAGTAAAAAGTATTTCATTTTTCTTCCAAAGGCCTTGTTAGGGATTTTATACTGTATTAATAGTGTCAGGAAGAAGGAAAAGGTTTTTGTCCGGCCCTCTTGGGATTTTATGGTTTCATTTCCCCCCTTTGTTGTTTGTTCCCAGGACACACCGACAAGGAAGTCCATCCCACTCTCCTCCTGCGGACACTTCCTTCAGCAGCCGGAGGGGCAGACAGCTCCCACAAGTGCCAGTGAGAAGCGGCAGTATAGAACAAGGTATCCACTAAAGAGAGATCATTGTCCAAAAATCTTGGGTTTGAGAACCACCTCTTGATATGTCTTTTAGTAAACAAATAGTATTTTGATTACATGTAGTTTGCTGAATCCTAAGAATTTAAGTTTCTTAGAATTTTATTCCCAGTACCAAGTTATAATAGTTCATGATGGAGACTGTGTTTTTGCTAAGTGAGTGAATGAATGAATTTTAGTTGGTCCATTGAAAGAATGGATTGAGCCCTGCAGATATCTTTTTTACAAAGGACAAAGAAGGAAAATTATATTTTTAAAACCTCAGTGCACTATGGTATGTTGTATTAAGAGTTATTTGACCATGTTTTTCAAATATGTCCTTGATTAAATACTTAACCACATATAAGTCTTTACTAATGTGTTTTATTTGAAATTATTTGCAAGGTCTTGTGTTTTTGTATAAATTTGGTAAAAAGTGATTTACAGTACACAGTTCAGTGTTTTGTTAACAGTTTGTGTTACTTAAACTTTTTCTTAAGAATATACACACTGTGTTTTATTTTCTTGGAATTGGGTGGGAGTATTTTGATAATGGAAATAAATTCCCTAAAATATCTTGGCAAGATAATTTAAATATTGGGTTAAAATAGTCACTGTGTCCTCCATGTGACCTGAGGTGCTATTCCATTTCTCAGTAGGCGAGATGATGTATTATCAGTACTGTATATGTTATCACATATTTTAACAGGGAATTGTTAAGCAGTTTCCTGGAATAATTTTTAATTTAGGGTTCTAACATAAATGCAATGGACTCACATTCAAGACATAATCAATTAAAAAAAAAAAAGACATGTTTTATAAAACTTTATTTTTTTTGAAACAACTGAAAGGTTAACATCTTGAATAATTTTTCAACAGTGTTGGTTGTTAGCGATGTTTTCTTGTATTCCACTCTGAGTTGAGAGTGTTGGGTACCTGTTTCCTCACCTAATTGAAGTGCTCTATTGAATGTATCACAAAATGTTAAGAGTTCTAAAAAGATAAATGCATTGTTTACAAGACTGATATGACGGAATTGGTGAGCAGAATACTTGGTTATCGAAACATTAGTGTAGATTTTTAGAAGGACCCGCTTATTCATAGAGGCATGCTGCTCTAGTAATCTCTGGGTTTGTATTGTTTTTAAAAATCATACATCCCATTGATATGTAATGCTTTGCTATGCAGACTTCATATACAGGTACCTAGTTCATTGGGAAAATATGAAATGTTTTCTTTTCTAAAATAGCAATTCCCTGGAATTCTCATTCATATGTTTAATAAGTTTTCTTTTTCCTTGGGAACATTTTGAGAAGAGAATTTGTAATTTGTATTATTAAGACTGTAATTAGCAATAGCGATAGCCTAGATGAAATGGATTTTTTTAAAAATTGGTGTTTATGTAAATTATCAAGTCATGTCTTCCTGTTGCACAACTAAACAAATCATGCATTTTGGTGTTTAGCTGCAAACGTAGTATTACTGGTCATATCTTGCTCAAGATTGAAATCTAAAAAGTCATGTGTTCCTAAAATTCTTTGCATTTCCTCCAGTTCCTGAAACACTTCAGGTTCAAATCAAATAAGGTTACTGCTTATAACTCTCATATACTGAGGTTATAGTTATATTATTTCTGTAAAATAAGAATTGCATCTTTGAAATCAGTTGGATTGTATGCTGGGTTTGAGTGTTTAAAAAAGCTCATGTTCTATTTAATATCAACATTACTATTTATTATATTCATATTCACAGTTGTCTTTCAGATAAATCATCAATTTGTAAGGATTGAATTGAGGTGGTAAGAAATGAATGACTGAGGATGAAATTGGTGGCGTTATTTTGCTATTTAACATCACAAAGACAATAGTAACCACTTACTTGAGTTTCCTGAAATTCATGGTTATATAAATTCAACCTATTGAGAATATAACAACACATCTTATATCTCAGTGTTTTTCTGTAATTAAAATAGATTTGGTTTATTTTATGATATGTGCTTAATATGTGCTTTGGATAAAAATGCCCATCATGTTATTGCTGACTTATTTCAAACTGAACAGTCTTTGTGTATCCTAAAATATATTTTTAAAAGTACACTTCTAACTTGATCCATGGACTAGAAAGAATTTAGCATATTCTACTTAACATTGACTGCATTGTTGTTTTTAGGGCTACAGATTAATTTTTTTTCTTTTGATATTATTTGTTAAACTTTAGTTCTATTTCTTTGAAGATTAATGCAGTTTATTTGCAATTGATTAAGGCTCTACTATAGTTGGCTTCCTTCCTTCTAGTCTTTTTTGTTTTTTTTTTTTAATTTTTAAGAGGGTATTTTTCATTTTTTAAAAAATAATTGAGCTGATAAGCAGTTGATTGGTAAGAGCTAATATTCCAAATGGTTTAGATTCCTGGATAGTGATACAACTTCTTGCTAATGTTATAAATAATTTTATTAAAACACAGTTTTTGGATACTGTTGTCCATATTGTTGTGTTTAGGATTCATGTTGAGATTATTAGTTTGGGTTTTTGGTTTGTTTGTTTTATTTTTCTGTAATTCAGTTTTACTACTCACTCTTTATACTATAAAAGCGATAAGTGTTATTTTAAAGGCCACTGTATCATTTGAAAAATCATTTTTACTTAATTTTTTATAACACTGTATTTCAGTGTTGTTTTTGATTTAGGAATGTCATGTGGAATTTATGTTAAAGTTTCGTTAGGGGAAAAGAAGAGGCTCTATTACAGTACAGATTTTGAGATAAAGTAGCTGAAAAAAAAAATAGCCTTAAAATTTAGGCAACTCAAATGGTATTGTGATAATTGAGAACAAAGATTTTCAAGAAACTTGACTGGTTATATTTCATTGTTGTATGCCAATGTCACCCTTCTATAGAATAAGGCTTGAAAACAACATATTGTTTGCATAAAAATGTTGTATGATACTTTTCTGAAACTAAATGATATTTTTTGTTCTCAATTGGATGTCTTTTATAAAAAATGTATTTAAAGATTATTCATGAATTAACACATGCTGTGCCACTTATATTTGTCTTATTATTATATCTGCTACCCATACTCTAATGATATTCCTCTTCAGAAATACCTAGATAGACTATTATTTCTCAGTAAGTAGTGTACCAACATGGAGGTTGATGTAAAGCTTTATGAAATGTCTAAGAAATATAGTCTCCAAGAACAATTTCACCATAACATGTTTTATTATCATTCATTTGAAAAGGATGAATTTTCGATATGGAAAATGTTACAGAATATTTTTTATAATGGAAAAGAAAATGCCTACTTTTAGTAAAAAATGGAAATTTTTTTATCACTGATTATATTAAATTTCAAATTATCTAAAGTGCTATATTTTAAATAAAAGATGTTAGTTATGAATATTAAATATATTTTAAATAGTTTTACAATAAAAAGTCACAATGGATTAAAATTAAAATGTTTCAGTAAAATTGATTCTGAAATATTTTTAATTCTTATACAGCAAGAAAAAATATCACAAAATATACTTTTCAAATTCCAAATGTATTAATTTTCCAGTTTCTGTTTATATTTTAAATATCTAAAATTGTATTCATTTGTTCTTTGGTTAATTTGAGAACCATATTTGAGATTTCCTCATGTTTGTCATTGTAATTTATCATGTAACGTTACATGTTATACCTTTCTATTATTCATACCATTGTGTTGATTCACATTTTCATGTCTAACTATAAATTTGCTGATTTTTTTCTTTTGTTTCCATCATTATGTGCATTTAATTCATTGAAGAACAAGAAAAATATAACTCTTCCACAAAAGGTAAATATTAATGTAACTTTTTAACCATTTAAAAGTGTTCCTTTCTTTCATAATATATGAGAAAGTTATATAAAAAGACTTATTGAAATGAGCAAAATTATTTAATAGTAGTCTTTTTACCTGCAGTGATTTTGTAGGACATTTGGTATTACTTTGTATTGGGAGCAATTCACATCAAAGAAGAAACTATTAAAGTTAAGAATATTTATCCACACTGACAACTAGAAAACAATTATTATTTTATATGTTTCTGTTTGCCCTGCTCTCATAGATAAGGATTTAGTTCATACTTTCTGTTCAGGTTAATATCTGATACAAAGGAATAGAAAATCCCTGGATTTTCCCTTCTAGATAGCATTAATCATATTGAATGTTTGGTTCCCACTGCAGTCGTGCATCTAGGAGGTAGCTGCCAAAATATTACTCCTCAGGATATCAATATTGTTTTAATGCCCACCAATTCTATCTTCCCAAAGGACAGAGGAAGAAAACCATTTGGGCTGCTGTGTTGGCACATTGTCACCATCCTATCTTGCTGTCTTTGGATCACATTTGATTTTTTTGGCTTTGGACTTGAGTTTCAAGTACATGCACACCTCATCCCGCTCTCATGTGCCACTCACATCATTTTCTATTCAGTGTCATTTTTGTCCTGATAGTTAAATATCTGAGCATGAGTTTTTGCTTAATGAAATAAGTCTTATAATACTTAAAATTATATAATGCTTTATAATGTAATAAAACACATTTACTCAATGTTTTCAGATTAATGATTGAATCAGTTTGTTGTCCATAGTAACCCTAAAAGTCCTGAGAGTAGCATCATCCCTATTATGAATGATAAACTCAGGTTAAAGAGATTAAGACCCAAGAGATTGACCCATTCACACTGATGATGAATAGCAGAATATGAGCCAGGTGTTTTACTTTTAACCTACTTCCACTATACTAATAGTAGATTCTTCTTTAATAGAATCCCAAATACATTATCCAAAACTCCTAATTTATTAAGGTATGTTTTATGTATCTCAGTGTTCTATTGTGGGAATGTGAGTTAATATTCAGTTACTATTTTAGTTTGAATTTACAACCTGTAATGCATACTCTGGCATAATGTCATACATACTAGTCAATAAATATATCTTAATAAAATATAAAATATTATTCAATGTAATTAAGATGTTTTGGTCCTTAGACTTTTCATAGATTTCTGGCCACCATTCATTTTTAATTCAGATGCCAGAGACACAAATGTAGATTCTGTAGTACAAAAATGGCCAGTGCTTTGGTACCTAGATTTAGAAGAATTTATTAGTATTTGCAAGATAACTTTTAGCATAATAAAAAAATTAAACGTTTATATTGGAAATGAGTCATGACCTAATTATTTTAACCAAAAGAAAGAAAGAAAAAATAATTATTCACTTAGAGCTCTTACATATTAATACTAGCCAAAAGTTATAATTAGCTAATCAAAACAAAGCAAAATCCCTAAGCAATACAATCTAAAGTGTATAGGAGGCTCTCTACAGAGGCTCTCTACAGAGGCTCTCTACAGAGCATGTCCTATAGTTGCATTTTTACAAGGTCATTGTGTTACTGAGACGTGTCCTCACTCTGCGGAGTATTCCTGGAACACAGGATGTGAATCTGCTTCCCAGAACAGACCATGTGGCTGAAGACAACCAAAGAGGCGTCCCAAAATGCACCCAGATAGGGCAGAGGATGCTGCCCTCTTCTTGGGGATTGCTTAGCCACAAGTTTGAAAAGCCAAAAGGGATAGAAGCAAGTTCAGGAAATATTTCAAAGTCAAATCTGAGGCTCACATGCACCATCAGGAAGAAAAGAACTTGTTTTGCATAGAAACCCTGCTGCTGTGAGCTGATCTTTATTAGGTTCGATCATATTAAGACTTCACTTACCTAGAGAGCTCCCTCGGTAGATGAGGACAAGGGCATGCCAGACCTAGCTGACAGTCCGGGATGCAGAGATCCTACTGAGAGCTTGCTTTTGATGAATTGTAGCTAAGCTGGTAGGGCAACCAGTGGTCCCAGTTTGTGGAGGACTCAGACATTTCCCCCGAGATGCAAGACTTTTCAGTGCTAAAACCAGGATACTTCTGGGCAAACTGGGACAGTTAGTTACCAGTATGTAATTTTCCAGCACATACATATTTGTAATTTTACAAATTCCAGCATATACATATTTGTAATACAAAGCACAGAAAGAGAGGTGTAAATATACTATTAACATTTTCATTGGTAAATAGAATTTAATGAGCACTTTATGTCAGTGATTACGGTTATATATTTATCTTGCAATAGTTTTAACAACCTTAGACATAAGCATTAATGTCCTCATTTTCTAACCAAGAAAGCTAAAGTTTAGAAAAATGTAACTCTTTATCAGTCATAAATGTGGTAAGTGGTAGAACAGGGAAGTAGCCTCTGGCCTCACTCCAGAGACCTTGTTCTCAACCACTTTGCTCTAACAGGTTCTTCAACATTTAAACAGCATTCATTCCTATCTACTGTGCCTGCAATACCACATACTTATGGTAACACTATGCACACAACTGTGAGGAAGGCATCATCTCCTGTTTTATTAGGAAGAGGGTTCGAGGGGTGAAGTGGAATGCCAGAATAACAAAGCCATTGTGAGGCAGAACCAGGTTCTGACTGCACAGCCCAGGTTCTGTCAAATGTCCATGTTGCTGTGACATCCACCACTCACAACACCAGTATCTGGGAGGGGCCCACTTAGGGGTCCTACCTGCCCCTGAGGACCTGACTTTTCACCAGGCAGCTAAATCTCCCAGTACCTGGCTTGCCTTCCAATTACCGTGCAACTTGAAAAAACAAAGCCAGTGTATTTGAATAAGCACAACAGATTCTTGGGGTTGATAAGTTAACTGAGGAACTGTAAATGTTCATATTACAGTTTATCTCTTACCTGCCACTTTTATGTTAAAATTAAAAGTGGAAAGACCATATCATTTTAGGCTTCACAAACTGCTTTGTAGGCATATTTTAAATTATTCATTCTAAAAGTAAGCCAATTTTTCCATCTCTGCTACATTTCTTGGACAGTTTTAAAGAGCCCATGAATGTAGTTTGGGGGCATCGAAATAATGCTATAAGAAGATCAAAACAGAACCAGAAATTAAATGACTTCAGGTGAGAAAAAAATGTTATTATTATAATAAGTATCTAATTTATATGCCTTTAGATATAAGTGCATTATTTTTGGATTTTGGAAGCGATTTTGAATTATAACAAAACATCATACAATTTTTTTCTACAAATATGAATTCCTTTATCATGAAAACTATGTTCTTCATACAGAGAATAAAAGGTAATAAGACGTCAAGTGATTAAATGATTTGAACAGGAACAAAAAGTTAATAGCATTTTTTGCTTTTTGTTTTTCTGTTTTAGTAATAAAATTTATAATTATTATTGTAACCAGGTAATAGGGGTATTTAAGAACTGTCTCTAGTCAAGTATATTTTAAAGTGCAGATTTTTATTTAAAATGCTCAAATAAATTACCTATAATTCCTTAAATATTGGCAAGAACAGTTTGAATGCTAAGTCATACAAAATATAGTTGCTGTGGAACTATTAGCATTAATCTTATTTAGTTGAAGTGAATATAAAATTATTTAATAATTTTCTGTTGCATTAGTTATTGTATAGGTGGTATTTGCATAACTATTTTAATAGCATACCCTATTTGTGAAACATACTGTAAGAACAAATAGGTTACTTGATTTTTGCTAATAATAAATAACTTGTGTGTTCTTAGGAACCAGCATTATTTTAACTACCATTAAGTAGTAAAGATTTTCAATTTTGTTTACATCTTTATTATATGTATACTTAGTAAATATTAGATCAGGTAATATATATCCTATTATTATATGTGAAGATTTTAAAGGTTCAAATTTCTTAATTTCCCAGGGCAGTGCTTTTCCTGATCACTTCTTATGAATATTTATGAATGTTTACTCATAAATATTTAGAGCTCCATTACTAAAAATATCTGATTTATCCTTTTTTTTCTCCCCACAAACTGAAATTGTAGTTGTCATTTTGGCCTTCTCTTTAAATTTTAGAGATATAGAAGATGAAGCAGCCCATATAAAACAATTTAAAACCCTTGTTTATTTACCCTATTTTTTGTCCTGCTGATTCAAGTGTGGTTATTTATAATGTATTACAGGCTTTTAACATTTCAAGATTTTTAACACATATTAACCAAAATTCAATTTGCAAGAAATGCCCCATCAAAAAGTACAAAAATTCCCTTTCCTCCTGAATTTGTAGAGGGAAGTGTTGATGAGAATAGAAGGCAGGCAGATGTCTAGCCATGGTAGGCATTTTAATTTTTTTTCTTTCAATAGATGAAATTCACCAGAGGGGGTGTCCCTCATCCAGACCTGTGCCCTCTGGGCTCATGACTGGTGAGTGCCTCTCCCTCCTCTGCAGCAGTCTGGGAGCCCTCAGGGGATGTCCTACTGCTGCGGAGGAGGGGGAGGAGGGAGAGGCACTCACCAGTCATGAGCCCAACTTCTGGCTGAGAAGCGCTCCCCCTGTGGGAGCACAATGACCACCAGAGGGCAGCACCTGTATTGAGTGTCTGCCCCCTGGTTGTCAGTGCATGTCATAGTGATCAATCATCCCACTGTCCAGTACATTTGCATATTAGTCTTTTATTATATAGGATATGCCTTCTGACTATTGTAATGTATTTTATAGACTTTAAAATATATGAACATTTTAACTGAAAAACAATATGGGAGAGACCATCAAACATTGATGTTCAATTTAGCATTTGTGCCACATCAAACCTTTCAAGATTTTGTTAACACCAGTGTAATTGGAATAATGAATAATTATGGATAAGTAGATAGAGATCTCTAGGATAAACAACAAGATGCTCAGGGAGTGATTTTGTTATTTCCCAGAGAATTTTCATTGCATGGGCTGCTTTTCTGGA